TCTGTGTGTGTCTCTCTGCTCCTCCCCTGCTCATACTCTCTCTCTCAAAAATCAATAAATATTAAAAAAAAAGAAAAAAAACCATGGACTTACCTGGGGTTCTTTAGTTACTAACGAGAGGCTTCCTTGTGAACTTCAGTGGGTGTCCCGGCCAAGCAGGGTAATTCATCTTTACACTTAATGATCAAGAAAAGGTACATCATGCCTAGCACTGTCTGCTTAAAATAAAAAGTAAGCAAGTGAACAGTGAATTTTATTTCAAAGAATTGATTAAAATGGACTTTTGGCTAAAAACGACAAGAATGGATGTGCATTCGAGTTTGTATGCCCTGTGCCCCGGGCTCCTTTCTCTTCTGTCCACAAGAGCCTGACCCAGACCTTGCCACACGCTCTGTCCTGTAGATCCAAGACCATCCTCTGAAACTAACTCAAAGCTGCTGGTTTTCTCTCCCTTTTGTGTCAAAGAACAACACAGGATCACACTTTCTGGAGTGCTGCACTTTAAATTTTATTAAAAAACAAGCGAACATTTTCAACGTATCGGTGCTTTAATTCACATTTCTCAGTAGGCATCCACCACAATACGGAGCAAACGCAACAAAAGCAAGTCAGTAACACAGGGTACTTAGTGGGAGGTATGTGGGGGAGGGGGGTAGGTGTGAGGCCCGTGGCTGCGGAGGCGGAGCCACCCCAAGCGTCCACACCATGGGCCAGGGAGCCAGTTCAGGGGGCTCGCCGGCAAGCGGTCAGGGCCAGGACCCAGGCTGCTCTAACCTTGTATAGAACAGAATTACAAACCAGAGTGCCCATTTGTCTGTAGGGCTCATTCAAGCAGCTCAAACTCGAGAACAAACAGAGAACCGAGGGGGACCGCGGAGCCAGAGGGAGGGAGCAGAGGCGCTGACGAGCCGCGTCTCCTGCCCTTCCCGCGGGGATGTTCTCACACACAGCGCGGCCCCCACCTATGATGATGCCCTGTCGCCTGGACAGTGTGAGAGGAACAAGGACAGTGACCTAACTTCCCAGCTCTCCTTTTCGGCCTTCCACATCGGTCACCAGAAAGCACCACATGGTGGAAATTTCCTATGGTGTATCTTGCTCAGTGCGTGCTGCGTGGACGCTGTCCTTTACGGGTGCCCAGGCCCCTGCAGACACGGAGGAAGTGTCACGTACCAGCAACACATCTGGACGCACAGCTTCTAGGTCACTGACTTTCTTCAGACATTTTTGCAGGTGACTAAGTGCCACCATTTTGTTTTGTGAACTTCTGTAGGAGAGGGGGACACTGGATTCTTTCTCCAGATCCTTGGAACATACCTCTTTCATACCTGCGTCAGGCACAGACTACAGTCGGGCCCATGGGGGTAAACGTGTGTATTTACATAACTAAAATTGACTAAATATTCAGACCATTTCTATACTAACATTAGAAATGTGAGGAACAGAGGATAAGCCAGTGCTTTACTATTCAAAAAAATGCCTTTAAAACTTGTGAAATAGCCAGATGGCCATATTCCAAGCAGCAAGACCTTCAGGATATTTTTCATCAAAAAACATGAGGTTTCTGAATATGTAAAAATCAGCAGAAAATGAACCAGGTGACAGGCATTCTCTGAGTAGTGGCTTCCAAACCCTTTTAAAAAAATAGTGGAATCCCTTTTTTCGAAAGGAGGCAGAGCTGTATCTACAGAAATCTTACCTTAAGCAGCATCCGGGGGTAGGGGTGGGGGGCTGCACCGGATGAGGGGAGAAAGCAGGAGCCCCTTGGGGGCCCACTCCACAGCCCCTGAGCACTGCCTGTTCTCTAAGACTCCCTGGGTCATAATCCAAAATCTGCTTCCACATAAGAATCCGAGGCTACCCATTTCTATGTGGTGGTCTAGACAAAGACATTAGTTTGGACAGGATATGACCCAACTGTTCATAGCAGTCCTTTAGAAGAGTGATTTGTGGGGAGAGAACGCAGTTAGTGGAGTGAAGGAAAAACGATTTTAAGAACATGTGATTAGTTCAATTCTCCTGCGTGGTATCCACCCAGCAGGAGCCCTGGGTGAACGCGAGGTACAGACCAGCAGCTTTACAAACGTCAGTGCGCGTGAGAAGCACTCGAGGCGCCTGTGGATGAAAGCGAAACGTCCGTGTCCCCCCAGAGGCACTGCTTCATGAAGTCAGGGGCGGGCCTCAGCCTCTGAGCTCCCCCGGTGAGTCCCACTATGCCGACACCCTGCAGAGCCCACTTCGCTCAGGAGGAGGCTGGCCGTACAGGGGCCCTCGGGAGAAAGCCAGGGCGCACTTCAAAAGCAAAACCCAAACCACCTCTTCTGTCTTGTTGCTGGAAACGTGCCTTCCTTCCTTCGGATTGGGACAGAGTAACAACACTCTTTTCTTTTTAAATTCCTATACATATATATATATATATATTTTTTTATAAATTTACCTACATTCCATTGTCCCAAATTAGGTAGAATTAAAAAAAATTCTGAATATAAAGTGCTGGTTCTTGCTTCAATGTTATCATCTCAAGGAAAAGCCACACAAAACTATCATCTAGTCTACTGACCTTTTTGGCCAAGTAAGTACAAATTATGTATTCGGATCCACGTGAATCTGTAAATTAACATAACCTTTAGAGTTTTCTAGTTAGTGCAAATTTAAAATTCCATAATATACAGTAAATACAGTTTTGCTTTATATTACAAATGCAAACTATTTTTCTTTTGACATGCTGGTAGGATTCATTTTTACAACGCAAAAAGGACTTTACAATTTCTGAGTCACAGAATATTTTACAACTCGAAGTAGGCAAACATATTCCAAAAAGCAAATACTACACGTTTTGACACACCCTAAAAAAATAAAAATAAATAATTCTGACTATAAAATCTTTATAAACATTAGCTACACTAGGGGTTCCCAGCCAATGGTTGCAGAAAACCTAAAACCCATTTAAGATCGTGTAATCTCACAATCAGACAACCTGTGTTTTGAAACACAAGTCAGTTTGATTTCTACGCAACATAAAAAGCACTGCACTGAAAAGTGATCACCGTCTGCTTAGGGTCCACACGAGCTGCCAGGTGCTCAGTGTGTAAGCCACAAAGGTGAAGGGGTTAGGAATGTAGGAGAACAGTAAAGGGGGAGAGAAATGTGAAAACAGACATGGAGCTAGGCTTCACTTTATGCATTTCTTCCTGAGAACGTAGAATTTCTTACTGTTTTTAGGTCACGACAATTCAAAATGGAACAGGAAAATATTACGGCAAATTATTTTTTGTAAAGTATGGAATCACTGGTCACGTCAACAACTGCTACTCTTAAATAGAATATACTTGCAACATGAGTCTTGTAAACTATCCTTTTTAAAACAAGACACGTGCCTATACCTTTATTTGACATGCTGGATAAATGTGCCTAAAAGGTAAATGGATTTGCTTATATAAGATGTTTGATGATATGGTATTCAGAAATAAGCTTCCTAAATGAAAACTAATTCTGAATGAATCAGGTAACAGAAAAACTTCATGAAGGGTCAGCAGGGAAAAACCTTACGGGATTGTGAAAACTGAAAAAATAATCTGTTTAAATAAACAAGGGTGTTGTATATAAACCTGTTCTAAACTCGATGTAACATTATGGTTAAAGTATGGTTTTAACGATTATAAAAACTATCTAGTTATTTTGATTAATTCTGACATCCCAAACTATTTACTTTGATTCTACAGTTAGCACTGTGGAATTATATTAAGATAAATTACAGCCTGAAACAAAGTGAACTTAACAGTATCTTTATAAAATGTGCTATCTGTAACAATACTGACCATGAGTTAAGGAATAAAATTTGTTATACTCAAAACATGTTCAGTCCATAAAAGAAAATCTACAAAACTCTCCCAGCAACCATGATAGGTTTCCTACCACGAAAGATATATGAAAAGGTAAATACAGATCTGCTCACAGAATCTTTCAATACTAGGCTTTAGCATCTCCTGTTGAGATCTGGAAGAGGTTAACTGAAGCAGAATCCAAAGTACTCTATACAATGCACTGACTACTGTATCACTACTAAGTTTTTCCTTTATAACATGGCCCTGGCCTGAAGGTGAGTGAAATTTAAGTTTATGGCAATTCATGGAAGATAGACTCATAATAGATCCTTACAGGACGCTATTGGTGTTTTGGGGGGTACATTCTAGTCTTTCAGAGATTAACATCATGAAAGACCACCGTGCTCACAAATAGGCTGTTTGTTGGAAAAACCCCAGGCTGGAGGCCCTATGGGTCGGCCTCGCTGGCCTGAGGGAGCAGGCGGGTTCATAGCAGGAGAGTGCCCTCTAGTGGGGAACCACGAGACTAGCCCTTCAACAAGTTTTTGGCAACCTCAGAGAGTGAAATAAAACATAACACAAAACTTTCAGTTATGCAAGAGTAGTTTGCCAGTGCTTTCATTCTCCCTCTTTTTAAAAAATATTGACTAATGTTTCTGAAGAATGAGAATATCTGGATGATATATATGTCAGGAGAATTAGGTTGTGGGTTTTAATTCCTTGGTCAACAGGCTACATTTCTGATTGTGACTAGCTGAATTTATGTGATGAATTTAACTTATTAAATAAAGCCATATGCTGTAAACACTAAACACAAGTATACCACAATGAAGAAAATAAATTAAAAAAATCTCATTTTAAAATAAATACGACATAAACATTTCAGCACAGGATCCTGCCTGCTTCCCCAGAGGAGATTTCTGTGAAGTCCTTTGGATATAAAAAACGACTATAGGGGCACCTGGGTGGCTCAGTCGGTTACGTGTCTGACATTGGCTCAGGTCATGATCTCACAGTTCGTGGGTTCAAGCCCCACGTCGGGCTCTGTGTTGACAGCTAGATCAGAGCCTGGAGCCTGCTTCGGATTCTGTGTCTCCCTCTTTCTGACCCTCCCCTGCTCACGCTGTCTCTCTCAGAAAAAAAAAAAAAAAAAAAAAAAAAAAAAGATGACTGTACTTCAAATACTACAAGACCACTGAGCTTTCAGGAGTTAGTAATCATTATCGAACTTTTCTTAAGCAACTAACGGGCAAATACATTTTCTGTAGTACGTTTTTCAATTGTTGATATTGTCTCTTACTCAGGAAAAACTGGCTAACAGTTCAGCCTGGAAACGAAGTGCTCTGAATGTTAATCTTTATCAATTCAACTGTGTGGGTGTCTTCTGGCTCCACGGGTCATAAATGAGCTGCTATGTGGTCATTAACAGAGTTAACCAAGCAACATCTGGGGGTCTCAATTTGCTCCTAAGATAAAAGTTACATAAAAAATTTAAGTATTGTCTTCCTTTAACACTTCTCTGTTTCAGGTTTCCTGGAAACGGATCTGCAGGGGTCCACGCAGCACGGGGCTGCAGAGGTTCTCTGAGGCCCGCCACGGCGGACGGCCCTGCACCACCCCTGCTGGCCTGACGCTAGTCAACTCCGTTCAAACAAGCAAGTCAATTTCTAAAACGTTATGGCGGCGTCACCACATTAAAAATTAAGACGGCAATGATTTTTCCACCTACATCTTGCTGGACGTGTAATGTGTCCATCAAATGTGCGCTTAAGGATAAGGAAGGAGAGCGTGGACCCGGGAGCGAGTCCCGCCCTCACACATAAAGCCGTGACAGACATCTCACCTGCAGGTCACTAACGTTCTGTGACGTTTTAAAGTTAGTACTATACGACGGGACTGTTTTGCTGAAGAGAGAACAGGCGTATGTAAACAACTGGAAATTCGGCTGTTTTTGGAATGCTATTTACATAAATGTATACCCACTCGACTACTGGTGAAATTAAGACCAAACAGCTGATAGAGGATTCTACTTCCGGATGAATACGTATCTACCTGTTTGGAAGGATTCTACTCTAAACTTTCACTTCCTCATCCGACTACTCGGTTTCCTTTATGTCCTCTTGATCTGAAGTACTGGAGATGTCGTCATCCGTCTGTTCTCCAGAGAAATACAACATCAGTGCGTGCGTCTTGTGAGTTATGGTGACCGTGCAGGGGCCCTGGGCCCAGGGCTCTCCATCTACCTGCATTGGCATCATCGAGCACTTCAAAATCAACTGGTAGTAGGGGACAAATAATTAGAAAGACGTCAGTTCCCAAGAGCTCAGAAAGGTCTTAGTGAAATTATCCACAGTCCCTTCACTTTTCTTAGGGACGATTCTTAACATTCCGTTCTTGGAAAATCAATCTGAACATCTCTCTATTCATCAACTGTTTAAGGGATTCTTTTGTACTGAACACTTTGTTTCTTCCCCATCACACAGAAGCTTTTGGTGGAGGGTGAGTAACAGTGGGGGTGGAAACCACTGTTTGTTTACTTTTTAGAGAAACAAAATTTTAAGTTAATTTATTTACTTAGAGAGAGAGCACACATGTGCACAAGCAGGGAAGGAACAGAGAGAAAGGGCGAAAGAGAACCTGAAGCAGGCTCCCCGTGCCGCCCGTGCAGAGCTCGAGGTGGGGCTCAGTCCCATAAACGCTGAGATCACGGCCTGAGCCGAAATCAAGAGTCGGATGCTTAACTGACTGGGCCACCCAGGTGCCTCCGTGCACCGCCGCTGAGGAAAGCTGTAACGTGTGTATCGCTCGCTACGGATCAGCAGCCTAGAAACGGGACTCGCTGCGCACGTACGACACGCCGAGCGGCGTCTCACCTACCCGCACTGTGTGTGCTTGTCCTATTCGGAAAGGGTTTGCCAGTTTCACCTGAATCTGAGCGCAGTGGAAAGACCCATACACTCCAACGACCTCCAGCAAGCCGTCGTCATGCCTACAGTCGGAAAAAGGACACACGTATCGCGTGACGCAATGAGGTAAGATCAGTCACGTCAGGACAAATCCTTTTTCACAGAGGTGGACAATCAACTTATTATTTAATGAGGTATTCGTACTAATGAGATATACAAAGCAGAAAAACTTGAGAAACATTAACAGTCTATCAACAACGACAGAGTGCTTTAAGAAAAATTTATTTACTTTGAAAGAGGGAAGAAGCACAAGTCAGGGAGGGTCAGAGAGAGGGAGGGAGGGAGGGAGAGAGAGAGAGAGAGAGAGAGAGAGAGAGAGAGAGAGAGAGACCCCCAAGCAGGCTCCGCACTGTTAGTGCAGAGCCCAATGTGGGCCTTGAACCCACGAACCATGAGATCATGACCTGAGCTGAAGTCAGACGCTTAATCAACTGAGCCACCCAGGTGCCCCAGACTGCTTTTTTTTAATGTTTATTTTTATTTGTTTATTTTTTAAATGATTCTCCACAATCTCTTGTCTTTTTAAAATTTTTTACTGTTTTATTTATTTCTGAGAGAGAGACAGTGTGAGCAGGGGAGGGGCAGAGAGAGAGGGAGACACAGAATCTGAAACAGGCTCCAGGCTCTGAGCTGTCAGCACAGAGCCTGACGCAGGGCCGAAGTCAGACACCCAACTGACTGAGCCACCCAGGCACCCCTATGTTTTTTTTTTGAGAGTGAGTAAGAGAGACAGAACACACGCGTGTGAGCAGCGGAAAGGCAGAGAGCAAGGGAGAGAGAATCCCAAGCTGGCAGTGCAGAGCTGGGCATGGGGCTCAGTCTTATGAAGCATGAGTCCATAACCCGAGTTGAAATCAACAGTCGGATGCCTAAGTGACGGAGCCACCCAGGCACCCCAATAACAGACTGCTTTAAAGAAAAGTGTCCTAAAACACATGTACATACCTGGCTAGAGGGTACGTCTCATCTCCCATCCCTTCCCACAGTCTGCAGCCGCCGCCCCAGTATCCGATGTTCAGAACTATAATACCTTCCAAACTGGGCAGTTCTACTCGCTCACCATCCAGTTCTAGCTTTAACAGAACACAAGTAGTTAGTTACTACAGGGCATACTGTTCTACACACACCCACTAATCACGCACGTCCTTCTGCACACACGCAAGAGGCAAGAGACACACGTGTAGGAGAAGACTGCTTCCTCCCCGCCCTCCTCAAGGAGTCTGTCTTTCCCACCTGTTCAGTGGTTATTGTAAGAATTATAACAATTTCATTTTTTTTTTTTAAATATTTTTTTTTAATGTTTTATTTCTAGGAGACAGAGAGAGAGACAGTGTGAGCAGGGGAGGGTCAGAGAGAGGAAGTCACAGACTGAAACAGGCTCCAGGCTCTGAGCTGGCAGTCAGCACAGAGCCCGACGCGGGGCTCGAACCCACGAACTGTGAGATCATGACCTAAGCGAAAGTCGGACGCTTAACCAACTAAGCCACCCAGGCGCCCCAACAATTTCATTTTTTTAACCAAGGTAAAATGGCAGTTGTTGTTAAATCTCATCTTTTTCAGGCCGTATCTAATTTGCTGTTCCTGTAGCACCTGACACTCCTTCCAGACCTACTCCCTTCCTTCACGTCTGGGAGCCACACCCTCTTTGTCCGGTTCTTCGTCAGTCACTGCCTCTCGCCTCTAGCTGTGTCCTAGGCTCCTCTCTCTTCTCAGGCTGCAGACTCTGGATGGCATTAATGGCTGTGTCGTTAATTGCCATCTCGGTGCTGACAGCTCTATCTTGCTGGTCCAGGAAAGTGAACCGGGCCACCTGAAACTCCCGGGCACAAAACTGGGTTAACTCAAAGCATCTTTGCTGCGGCCCCTACCAACTACTTCCCAGGAAAGGGCACCACCCGCTAGGCCTCAGGTGCCTAAGCCGGAAACCTGGGGGTCATCTTTGATTTCCTCGCCTTTCCCCCCTGCTTCCAGGTCCATCCTCTCTGTCACTCCGGACAGTACCGAGTCCAGCACACCCTCAGCTCTGCCCTAACGTGTTCCTCTCTGGCCTCTCTCTCCTCTTCTTCATCTCTGTCAGAGCAGGGGGATGGGCACTTATGAAATGCAAATATGTCATCCCGATTACAGCCCTCCAGTGCTTGACTCGAGCTCAGGATGAACCCCAAGTTCTCTAATGGGCCAACAGGGCCCTTCTGAGATTTGGCCTCTGCTCCTGCCACTGTCCCTCTGTCCGTCCTGCAAGTTATCCTCCAGCTGGGACTCCCTCGAACGCATCACGTTCTCTCTCACCTCCGGGCCTCTGCACACTCTTCTTAGCCGAGAACAATTTCCACCTCCTTTTTAGTTCTGCCATCTCTTATGGCCACTTCCTTCAGAAAGACCTGTTACAGCCACTTTCCCTAGACAGTTTCTCCAGCCCCTGGTCAGGCACTGCTCTCATTTATTCTGATACGAATGAAGACCTACTGGGGCGCCTGGGTGGCTCAGTCGGTTGGGCGTTCGGCTTCGGTTCAGGTCATGATCTCGCGATTTAGGAGTTTGAGCCCTGTGTCCGGGCTCTGGGCTGACAGCTCAGAGCCTGGAGCCTGTTTCGGATTCTGTGTCTCCCTCTCTCTCTGCCCCTCCCCCATTCACACTCTGTCTCAAAAATAAATAAACATTAAAAAAATTTAAAGACAGAAGATCTATTTATTCTTGTATTATCCTGATCACGTCACCTCTCACACTGTACTGCAATGTGGTTTAAATGCTTTCCTTCCCCGACACTGTAAACTCAGCAAGAGCCAGGGATTATCACTGTATCCCTAGTACCTAGGACAGTGCCTGGCATTTTGTAGGTGGCTTCATAAATAATTTTTGTATAAATAAGATATCAGACAACACAATGAAGTGTCACTGTGTTTGCTGCCCATTCCACCAATTCTATCGAAGCCTAGGATAAAGGAAATGTGATAAAGTGGATGGAACTTTTTTTTTGGACTAGTCTTGCCATTCCTCCTGCAGCATGGCCACAAAGTCCGTGAGCCCAGCGTCGGCCTGACTGCTGCAGCCTTGCTTGGGTCACGTATCGTCAGGCTCCTCACACCTCCCGCTCACTCTGCTCTCTCCCCCTCTCTTCCCCTTTTACTCCTTTTACTAGTTTTTTAGGCTTCTCTGTATTAATGGTACTGTTAACCATTACAGATTCTTTCTGGAAGCAAGCAAGGAATATACACAAGACTTGGCCATATCATGTCAGGGACACTGTAGCAACAAGCACTCATTAATATTCTGTTTTTAACACTCCTACATCTTGACTTTGCTTTCGTATCTAAGAGAGGTACATCACAATTGTTACATAAATTAAACTTTGCATTTAAACTTCCTCTGAGAGTCAATGACGAGTCAGGCACTATGTGAGACTGCTTCACACCTGTCATCAGGTATGAATACCGGCTGCTCAGTATCCGGTAAGCAGACTGGAGTGAGATAAACCTGTGTTCCAATCCTGGTTATGTGTGTACTTGGGTAAAAGGCATAATTTCAAACAGTTTTCTCTTCTGCATAATGGCAATAGGGTCATGCCTGCCTTGTACGACTGTGGTGACAGCTTAGTGGGGTAATGTGTATAAAGCACCTAGTGAAGTGCCTGGCCCACAATACATATTCCATGTATGTTAGTAAAATACGTTACCAGAAAATTCAGTATTTTGTTAAAATAAGTTTATAATCCAGAGACCACCTAAAACTTTAAAAGCTTACCTCAACTTTTTTATTCAAATCTTTACATTCTTGCACCAAACAGTCTTTAGTTCCATAGAACAAGTAAACAGCCTGTGAGAAGTGGACAGAAAACGGGATATTAAAGCAACCTAACAAGCTCGTAGGCAAGACAAGACACCGGACCAACGTTCCCTGATGGGACCGTCGAGTCCGGCTTCCTTACGCTGCACTAGGCTCTCGTAGGAAGAGAGGACACATTACTTCTGAGCTGAATTAGCCCATTCTTCAGGGGAAATGTGAGATAGGAGTGTTTGTGCCTAAATGCTGCTTTCTCCTGGTATCATATAAAATGTAAAAAAGCTCCATTTTATAAAGAAATACTGTATCAAAATTAGAAAATTCCACCTGTTCCTAGAACTTGAGATCACTTAATGAAAGGAACACAGAGGGGCACCTGGGTGACTCAGTCGGTTGAGCGTCCGACTTCGGGTCAGGTCATGATCTCACGATTTGTGGGTTCAAGCCCCGCGTCGGTCTCTTTACCAACAGCTAGCTCAGAGCCTGGAGCCTGTTTCAGATTCTGTGTCTCCCTCTCTCTCTGACCCTCCCCTGCTCATGCTGTCTCTATCTCTTTCTCAAAAGAAAAATTTAAAAAAAATTAAAAAAAAAAAAAAAAAAGAAAGGAACACAGATACATCTAATGGACACTTATAATCACTTCCGAAAACAGAAAGGTCGATGGGGTCTCTGAGATGTTAATTACTAATTGTACAAACAGCAGCCTTTGCGGCCTTAGCAACTGTATTAGTAAGAGGTGACTATTTGTAAATTTGAAATATTTGTAAAACTGAACCAGGAGCAAAACTGTTTTGCATTTAATTTTTACATCTTGTTGCTCAATCACCAAAAGCCATAAAAATTCCAAAATGAAACTTCCATCAAAGGAATCACTTATATTAGGAGTCAGAGTGAGGATCGTAGGTAAAAGCCATGGCAAACAAACTGCTCCTTCTCATTCTTCATCTGCATTTCGGAGCTTTGTTCTGAAGCCAAAGGAATCTATTCTTTTTTCCCATTCATGACTTCACCAAAACTTCATCCTGCCTAAAATTCTTTCCAACGTCCGTTGGCCTTTAAGTAAGATAAGCTCTCATGTATTCATTTAGTTGCTATTTGAGCAGAACGTGATGTAAAACATTCTCCGAATTTTACAAAGCTTGTCACAGTTACAAAATCCTTCGGTAAAGCACATTTAAGGATCTAATTTGACAGTCTTACACAAAACAGAGCAGGTAAATGTTTCCATAAGTAAGTTCTTTCTGAATCTACTTGGAAGAGTGCTAGATATAATTGAACTATTTTTACTGTACCTTCGGTGATAAGCAGGAAATGTTATTTTATCCAACACACCTTATTAAGAATTCTGCTAGAAAACAGAGATGGTGCCTTCTCGCGATGAGCATGAAAATTGAGAGCCATGAGAGCATCAGGTCCAATAGAAAAATAGTTGTTCATTGTGAATTCCTGTGAAAAGGGCAAAGAATAAGCAACTGCAGTGTGCTTCAGTCTAAGCCTGTGACATATGTTAAATATGTTAAGTCTTAGTCTCTATGTTCTTTATGAAAATGTAATGCTTTCTGCATTTACATTTCACTTAGAGCTGATGCTATCCAGTGAAGTTTCCAGAAATAAAGCTTCGGTTCAAAGGCCGATAGAAGCCTTATAAATTTCACTCTGCTGTTCTTGATAATATGCTGCACCTCAGATCTTAGTATCTAGAAAGGCTCTGCTTGGCACCCAGGCCTCTCCTGTGTTCCCATTACATCTGCTTTTCACTTTCATTGCAACGCTCAGGGTCTCAGTTTCTATCCGTGTCAACCCAGGATGTGGGTCCTTGCTTCATTTATCTCCCAGCCCAGGATGAGTTCCTCAGGCTCCTTCTCCAGCCCCGGCTTGTTGCTGAGCGCCGCGCCTGCGTTTCCAAACCCCTTCCAACATGCCACAGCTTCCAGGCTGATACACCCCGAATCTAACTCCTTTTCCTCTTTCTCAAACCTGAAACTCCTTTTCTTTGTATCTTGGTTGATGTCATTCCCACATATCCAGCGGCAACAGCTAGAAATCTGGTATAATGTGTATTTTCTCTCTTGTGTTAATATCAGTCAGCGGCCCAGTCTCCATCACTTCCGCCTCTACAATGTCTTTCCATTGTCTTCTTACTAAAAGTCCTGTTGTTTTGCCCTCGTCCAAGTTTCAGGGTTATTTTTGCTCTACCCCCAGAGTATCTTTTAGAAAACACAGAGCTGATCTCTGCCTTATTTGCTAACCATGATTTGCATCCCCAGGATCTATTTCCTCTGCCAGGAAAGTCTTTTGTTCCTTTTTCTGTCAATCTAAATTGTGTTTACTTTTTAAGGACCACCTCACCCGTCTCCTCCCCCTGAAACCTTTCCAGCCCAATCTGCCTCTACCAGGGAGGCACTGCGCACACTCACAGTGTGCTTTCTCCCACAGCCCTCTTTACAAGCCCACTTGGGGGCTGAGCACGTGGTCTCTCTTCTGCTCTGTAACCAGCCCCCGGAGGGAGTAAGCACCTCCACGCCACATGTGTACAAAGGGGCACTCCCTTCCGTCTCCTGAACCACTTGCAACTGAGGCCCAGAAAACATACCTTGGGTTTCCTTAAGTTGTAGTAGCCTTTATTTGTTACTTGAACTTTCCATCTAAAATACAAAAGTTAAAAAAAAAGTAATTATTACCAAATTAATTGCCAGTTAACTTTGGATGCCTGTAGATAAGGTACCTTTATTAAAATAGCATTTGAAAAAATAAGCACTTCTAAGTGACTACACAAATTTTGAGCTGAGTACTCTACCTAACGTGACTTCAGTCCTTATGTAACAGAATAAAACCCCAGCATCGTGGATGAGTACAATTAACACATTCTTTTACACTTAAATTACATTTTGTAAGTAACTACACAAGTCTTCCTTTCTAGACCAGACAGTATTCCTGAAGCTCCAGAAATCCACCTTTTGGAGAAAGTAAAACTCACCTATCTAGCTTGATTCCATCTGCTTCCATCACATTTCTTAAGACCTGAGCAACTGGGATCTCTCCCGCGTACCCAGTGCCCCAGCCCAAGGTATTGGACAGATCATTGCCTGTTCCCAGAGGCAGGACTGCGACTTGTGGAATGTACTTTTCTTGTCCCTAGAAAATGGAAGGTATGTGTTAGATTTTTCTCTTCAGATGATTGTAGGGTAATGTTATTTGGCAAAACTTATAGACCAAAGCAAGAAAGACACAAATATAACAGCTGTATGTTGTTTTGCTGAAGGTTATAGGAACTGCTTAATCATAATGTTCAAAACTGGTAATGTCGGGGCGCCTGGGTGACTCAGTCAGTTAAGCTTCCGGCTTCAGCTCAGGTCATGATCTCACAGTTTGTGGGTTCGGAGCCTGCTTCGGATTCTGTGTCTCCTTCTCTCTTTCCCCTCCCATGCTCACCGTTTGTCTCTCTCTCTCTTAAAAATAAACATTAAAAACAAAACAAAACAACAACAAAAAAACCACCTGGTAACGTCTTCTAATATTCATCTGCATAATAAAATATATAACCACAATATTGTATCCGTAACTCAGAACTGTTCTGTGAAGGGCCCGCAGGTCTTAAAGGTTGATACCTTAATCTTCATTTCATCGACTGCGTCCAGGACCCAGCCCACAGTGCCGTCCCCTCCACAAACAAGCACCCGGGCCGAGTGACAGGGAAGGAGAGTGCAAAGTTGCAGGGCTTTGACAGGGGGGGTTTTAGTTACATCAAAAACCTAGAAATGAAAAAAAAGGAAAACTTATTTTTTCCAACACCATCTTCCATGGGTGAGGATGACGTCCCCCCAGATGAGTACGGATCCGGTTAGAGAACAATGCTGGCTACGAAGTGTCTAATTACATGCGAGACTGCTGATACTCACTGCAGCTCATCCGGACGCTGGCCCTACTTGCAACGAGTAAGCCTCTTTCTATGGACCAGGAAGTTGAGGTGCAGCGGGGTTAAATAAGTTGCCTGTGATTTCCCCAATATGTAAGTGCTGACATTCAAATTCAGTCCTAGAGTCTATCCATTATATGACACCGCCTCCTTCCTGTTCACATGAAACCAGAATGTGCTAAGTTCACCCTTAACGAGCACTTCATATTTTATGATGTAGTTTTCAAATCCATCGCTAGCACAAGTTAGTGCACATTTCTGGAAAGCCATTTTGCAACATACGTACAATGGCATAAAGATGCAAGGACCCTTGATATCTCTAATTCTGTAAATGATCTAGGAAAATATTTCAAAAACCGAAAATGCCTGTTTATAAAGGTATTCAGTGTGGCATTATTTATGGATGTATAATTATGAGACAAACTCAACCTCCAACAGCAGGAGCCTGGATAAACGGGATAAACCCATTCAATTAGCTACTTTCAAAATTTCAGGTGTAACTGTGAAGACCATATCACACACGGATAAATACTCTCTACGTACTGCAAACCATACACATTTTAAATCTAGATTATTGTTATTGCAATGTTAATATGTAGACGCACAGACAATGAATGGAAAGAACATGGACAAATGAAACCGACTGGTGTATTTGTGTGGGGGAAACTGCAGCTGATTTTCTTTCCTTTTTTATTACTTTTATAATTTCCTCAAGTATGTATGGTTGAAAAGGAAAAATACAAATTGGAAGAAAAAAGTTATCCCATTTCTGAGTGTTACAGGAGTTGTTTATAAATGTTTTCCAAAGCAGAAGCTGCAAGCGCGTAAACTCTACGGTGCAATCCTTCTACTCTTATCGTTTAAACTGAGGTACCACTTACATATATGGAAATGCTCACTTAAAGCGCACAATTAAATGGATTTTAGTCAGTTTACGTAGCTGTGCAACCACCACAATCCAGCCTCGAGCACCTTCCCTGCTCTGAGAGGGCCCTTCGTGTCTGGCTGTGGTCCCTGCCGCCTGGAGCCCTAGCCTCAGGCACCCCCTCGCTCCTTTGTTTCTGTACCTTGGCCTGTTGTGCACAGGTCACATAAAGGGACATACTCAGTGGGTCCTTGAACCTGGCTTCTTTCACTTGGCACGGTTCTGAGGTTCATCCACAGTAGTGTGTATGGGTCGCACCTCGTCCCTTCCTATCACTGAGCGATACCCCCTGGGTGGTTACACGTCTGGTTCTGTCAACTCACTGGCGAATGGACAGTTGGGTTGTTTCCACTTTTTGACTATTATGAATATCGCTGCTACGAACATTTGCATGAAAATCTTTGCGGGACATATGTTTCATTTCCCTTGGGTAGACTGCTAGAAATGGGATTGCTGGGTGGTATGGTAAACATATGCCTGACTTTTTAAGAAACTGCTTCACTTTTCTAACGTGGCTGCGCCATTTTATATCCCCACCAAGATAGCACCTCTTTTTGCATAAAATTGAATGGCATGGTACTTTTATAATTCTTTCCTAAAATCAAGTGGTGGCCTGGTTTGAAGCATTAACCACCATTACAACTTAGGGAAAATGAAAAGCTAAGTGTGAGAAGATTAAAACGGAAAAGTTTTCTCTTTAGTTACCTGGACTGGGTTTAGGAGGATCCTAAATTCTCCCAGCAGCCCTTCTCCCATGTTCGTTCCGCTACGAGAGTTGGCCAGGATTATTAATGGGCTCCACTGCTTTCCAAGCTTAGAGGCCAGCTAAAAAAATTAATGCAAGTGAAAAGGGTTTAAGATCTCAAAGATGGTGAGCAATAAATGTTTCTTTTTTTTTAAAAAATGTTTATTATTGTCGAGAGAGAGACAGAGCCCGAGCAGGGGAGGGGCAGAGAGAGATACACACACACACAGAATCCGAAGCAGGCCCTGGGCTCTGAGCTGATAGCACAGAGCTTGACGCAGGGCCTGAACTCAGGAACCACAAGATCATGACCTGAGCCGGAGTCGGAAGCTCAACCAACAGAGCCACCCAGGAGTCCCAGCAATAAAATTTTTCATTTCTTGGTAGCGATAGTGCTATATAAATATGCTGGGAGAAAAACAGCTATCACACTACAATGAATATATAAATCAAAGAATTCTAAGAATGGAAAGAGAACTTGGACATGAATAACTTAACTCGCACTTAATGTATCAAATTTCTTTCAGCTTATTCTAGATGAGTCACCTAGTGATGCATGGATACTCATGTGAGAAGGAAGGAACTGAATTTAACAAGGTAGCCCATTCTACTGCTGAATCAAATTGTTAGAAAGTTTGGACTTAAAGTGAGCTATGTTTCAACAACTTGCATTCATCGTTCTAATTTTGCGTCCTAAGGCGGCCAGAAATAATGTTATTTGTTCTTCCATGTAACTGTTGTGCTCCAACACCTGAAGCATTGTATCTTTCGTCAGTCTCATCTCCTAGGCAACCCACTTGACGACCTTTCGACTGTTCACAGCATGGACGCAGATGTTTTCTGCTCTCTTACCCTGGCTGTCCTCTGGATATAGTCTAATGTATTTTAGTTTGCAAGGCTTTTTTTTTTTTTTTTAATTAAAAAAACTTTTTAAATGGTATATTCAAATAGATTTAAGAATCCAGATTTATGGGCACCTGGGTGGCTTAGTCGGTTGAGCGTCTGACTTTCGCTTAGGTCACGATCTTGCAGTTCGTGAGTTCGAGCCCTGCGTCGGGCTCTGTGCTGACTGCCAGCTCAGAGCCTGGAGCCTATTTCAGAGTCTGTGTCTCCCTCTATCTCTGACCCTCCCCTGCTCATGCTGACTCTCTCTCTCCTAGAAATAAATTTTAAAAAATATTAAAAAAAAAAAAAAGAATCCAGATTTATACAAAGCCCAAAGTCAGATGAAATTTGTGTTTCTCTGACCTAACCCTTTCTCTCCCCTCCCTTCTCCTCGCGGATGTGAATGGGAATGACGATGTTCTACAGCTTTACTTTGTGATTCTCAGCCCTCTTGATCTTAGATTGAAATCAGATACATTAAGGGACTGTACATTTAAAAAATATCTATCATAACATTAAACATAATGTTTTTAAATTTTAAAATGCCTTTTTCTTTGGCAGGAATACTGTCAAAAGTGACATTTAAGATATACAATCCTAAACTGGAAAAGGCACAAAACTGAATTGAGATGAAATAGTTCAACTATTTTGGCATAGTCAAGTAGGAAATGCAAATTTTTACAGTTATCCCTTAAGAACCACAGAAAGACTGAAAAACACATTTAGATTGGTTTCCACACATACATGCTGCAGAGTGTCGTTGACGGTTTTGATATTCAAATTATTTGTCAAGGCATCTCATGCTCCAAATAACATGAAGTTCCAAACAGAAAAATTCTGTTAGAACAACATGTGAGGAAATTCCAGGTTTTCTTTTCACTGATAATAATAATGGATTTCAAATCTGCCTGTTTATCAGAACTGTCTGAAGACCTTAAAGAAATCCAGATTCCTGGGACCTACCCGAGGCCTCCTAATCAAACCTGGTGATGGAGGTAGACTCTGGAATCTGCGTTTTTATTTTTTTATTTTTTTAATTTTTATTTTTAAAATGTTTTTATTTATTTCTAAGAGAGAGAGAGAGACAGCACGAGCAGGGGAGGGTCAGAGAGAGAGGGAGGCACAGAATCCAAAACAGGCTCCAGGCTCTGAGCTAGCTGTCAGCACAGAGCCCGATGCGGGGCTCGAACCCACGAACGCGAGATCATGACCTGAGCCGAAGTCGGATGCTTAACCGACTGAGCCACTCAGGTGCCCCAGGAATCTGCGTTTTTAAAAAGCTCCCCAAGTGATGCAGGTGCAGCAGGGATTTAGAGACCCGTAATAGAACATTTCCAATTTCCCTTTAGACATGAAGGACTTAAGAGCCCACCCTGGCGGCACTCTCGAAGCACCGGGCAGGGCTCTACCGCCCATGGTAACGATTCTTCCCTCAATGCCGACATAACTGTCGCACACGGACTCGAGCAGCTTTGTGAAAATCAATTCCATAAGGAAACACGAACTCCGCTTACCACCGCATAATCTGTTTTTTTGTCCTTCCGCATCTGATTAATAGAGGTCAGGTAACTTGGTGGAATGATGAGATTTTTGAATTCTCCAAAATCACACTTTTCATTCCTTAAGCTGTTTTTCATGCACTCGTCATGTACTGTTTTCTGACACCAAATGCATCTGAGGGAAGAAAGAAACAAAGACAATAATTAATTTTAAACTGTAATTTCACAGACGTGCAAACTGATCCTTTAGTAATCTTACCACTATTGGGCATAAAATCTAGCAAACAGAAGATTTATAACTATCTGCACAGTGATAATGAACAATAAAGTTTGAACAAACTTGGCAGTTTAAGAGTGTTTTTTATGACTAAAAAACCCCGTCATTTTGGAAAAGAGAGCGCACGCATGCACATGTGAGTAGGGGAGGGGCAGAGAAACAGGGAGAGAAGAGACTCCCAAGCAGGGTCCATGTTCAGTGCAGAGCTAGATGCGGGGTTCAATCTCCTGACTTTGGGATCATGACCTGAGTTGAAATCAAGAGTTGGATGCTCAACTAACTCAGTCATTCAGGAGCCCCTAAAACTTTATTTTTATTTTTTTTAGAAAGGGGGTGGAGAGGGAGGTAGGAAGGGAGAGGGAGGGAGAGAGAGAGGGGGAGAGAGAGAGGGAGAGAGAGAGGGAGGGAAGGAGAGAGAGTGTGAGTGAGGGAGAGAGAGAGAGAGAGAGAGAGAGAACGAATGAGCAGGGGAAGGGTGAGGAAGAGGGGAGACAGAATCTTAAGCAGGCTCCACACTCAGTGAAGAGCCTGATGGGGAGCTTGATCTCATGACCCTGGGATCATGACCCGAGCTGAAATCAAGAGTCAGACACTCAGGTGCCCCTAATAGTGATTTTTACATGTGGTCTAGGGACACCTGGGTGGCTCAGTCGGCTGAGCATCCGACTTCAGCTCAGGTCGTGATCACGTGGTTTGTGAATTCAGGCCCCACATCTGGCTTACTGCTGTGAGTGCAGAGCCCGCTTCAGATCCTCTGTCCCTCTCTCTCTGCTATCATGCTTTCAAAAATAAATAGGAAAAATTAAAAAAAAAAAAAAGCAAAGTGTGGTCTGGAGCCCCCCAAGATCCTTCCAGGACTCTGAGATTAAAATCATTTTAATATTAATAATAAGATGCTATTTCATCTTCCTTCTCTCAAGAGTGTACAGACTCAGTGCAGAAGCTGACAGAAGAATCTAGGTGGCCTCTAAACCAAAGAAATGTACCAAAAAGGTAAAATAATGTTCACTCTTTTTACTACATTTTCATAAAAATATTTTGTTACTTTAAAAATAAGTATTTAAACAATTTCTCAGTTTTTTTTAAAAAATATTTTTTATTTATTTCAGAGAGAGAGTCAGCATGAGCAGGGGAGGGTCAGAGAGAGGGGGAGACACAGAATCTGAAACAGGATCCAAGCTCTGAGCTAGCTGTCAGCACAGAGCCGGACACGGGGATCGAACCGACGAACCGTGAGACCATGACCTGAGCTGAAGTCGGACGCTTAACCGACTGAGCCACCCAGGCGCCCCAACAATTTCTCAGTTTTAATTTAGAACATGGTAAATGCCAGTAGGTATATCCACATAAACAAATGTGGGTCTAGAACAATGGTTTTGTATTTTAATTATTTGTGCATTGGTTGAAATAACATTTGTGAGGCCTACGGTCCTTGCTGCTTAATTAAATGCCCTACTGCCCTGGGTGTTTGTGTCCCTCAGGGTCCAGTCTGTCCAGTTTGAAAACCTCTTAATTTATGACCATCTGTGAATACTTTAGTAACTATAGCAAAACAGTCAATTTCTTGTTGGCAGTTAATACAAAACTAATCTATATGTTTGCATTTGAAATACAGACAGAAGATGTGTACAGATTTGCTTCTCTGGATACGAGCGTGAAACAAACAGAGAACAGTGCTGGTAAAGGTCCCAGGTTTCTATTATTAAGCTGCTAAGACTTTAATCCACTTACAGACAAGGCAGAGCTGACTGTACAGACAAAAGCAGGCCAACAGAATATAATGGTTATAATTAAATGAATTAAAAAAAAAAAGAGGATAAAAGTCTTTCGCCCAAGGTCAACCCTCTTGGATTTCTATTTTAAGGTTGTTTTTTTTCCGGTGGATGTTCAGATTTCTCAAATGATTACTGCTATTTACTCAGGAGTCCTATTTACTGCTGAAAGAAGCATTACCTGCACGATCCCTTAGACAGAAAACTGTAAAATAACTTGCGTATGTTTAGTTAATAGTTTTTTTCAAGCTAAGCTTGAGAAACTACAATAGATCACTTATACAGCCCAAGTAAACCACCTCTACCGTGCCATTAACTTTACAACAGGATACTGTTATTGAGAATAATCTGAACTGCGGACCCCTGAATTCTTTCTCATTGGTTTCCTCTGGGAAGAAAGGTGGGAGGAGAGAGCTGAGAACACATGGTCTTCATCCTATATCCTTCTGTACTGCTGTACTGCTTGAGTTTCTAAAAACCAGAATACGTTTGTCAACTACCTATATACGTTTTTAAAATTATGTTTTCAATAAGATAATATCAGCATATGCTTGAGAATTTAGAAAATACAAAAAGACACTAAATAAAAATCATCCAGAGACACTTAACTCCTCACTTTTTGCCATACTTTTCAGTTTTATTGTATAGAGATGTTTGTTTCTCCGTTGAGATATGATAGATGTATATCTGGACAGGACTTTTCTTTCCACATTATCATGAATGTTGTCCAATGCCATTGAATATTTTTAAAAATATGGCTTATACCATATCTATGGATATATCATAATTTAACATTTTAAAACATAACCATTTATTATTTTTTTAAGTTTTATTTATTTTGAGAGGGAGAGGCAGAGAGACAGGGAGAGAGGGAGAGAATCCCAAGCAAGCTCTGCACTGTCAGTGTGAAGCCCGGCAGGGCTTGATCCCCTGAACTGTGAGATCATGACCTGAGACGAAATCACGAGTCAGACGCTTAACTGAATGACCCAGTCAGGCACCTCTAAAAATTAGACATTTAGATAGCTTATTTTATTAAGTATAAACAACATAGTTGAACAATCACAAACATACATGAGATTATTTCTGTTGAATCCTAAAAGTCAAGTTACTGACTCAAAGGGCATGCATTTTCCCAAGATTCTTTTCAATATTTTTTTCGAGTACAGCTGACACATAAATGTACATTAGTTTCAGGTACACAATACAGTGACTGGGATGTGGTCTGTCTGTCCCGTGTGCTTGTTACCAGTGCATGGAGGGGTCTATCATGTCTAATGCTTGCTAATCCTACACATTAGTATTTAAAATGTATTCCTTGATAATTTGATAGAAAACAAATTTTCTTTTGTTTTAATTTGGAAGCCTCTGATCACTAGGTGATGCCGAATATTTTTTGCCTTCTTCTGTGAACTGATTCATGTCCTATATATTCACCTTTTACTAGGTTTTAATAATTGCATGCACTTTTTATCTATGTAGGATATCAACCTCTTTTCTGTCATATTTATTGCAAACTTCTTTTAATTTTCTTTTTAAGTTTACTTTTTAATGTACTTAAGTTTAGTTTTTGATGGATCTCTACTTCCCTTTGGGGTTTACGTAAATGCTTTTAAGCTCTGAAGTCCTTCAATATTTGCAAATTACTCACCTGTAGTTTTTCTCCCTTCCCACCCATTCAGCTTTCATATCTATGTCTTTAATTTAGTGCTTCTTCCAGGGCTACCGGCTCCACTGAGAACCTCCTGAAAGGGTCAGGGTTTCTTGGAACCTTATCCATCTGTGAACTAAGGGCCCCTGCTTTAATCCATTTGGAGTTTATTGTGGCATCTAGTGTTTTAGGAAGATCTCACTTTTTCCCCCAGAGGGTACCTGTCCAAGCACCATTCATAAAACAGTCCTTTCTGTCCCCACTGATTTGGGACAACTTTATCATTTACTACATGCTCATAAATTTCTGAAAAGATTCCTCTCACTAAAATGATGGCTGTTATCAGCCTGTGTTCTGTAAAGGTAGAGCCAAAATGCTTATTAGTTATTCAACGTTATGCTTTTCCTTACAAATACTATATTCAAAATTGAGACTGGTCTCTATGTATTTTGTAATTAGTGCTTAACCTGATTTAGATTTCAAGCCTGATGGGAAAACAAGACATTACTAATATAATGTCTTGATATTTTAGTTTCAGTGATGTCACTGACTAATTGCTTATCTTTTTATTTGGACATTTTAAACCTCCCAGAAGTCAAAAGAATAGCAAAATGAATACCCTTAAATGAACCCTTCACTCTTGATTCTTAACATTTTCCCCACATTTGCTTTATCTCTTTCAGTGTAAACTCATATATAGCTAAATCGTTTGAAAGTATTACGGACACGATGAGATTTTATCTTTCAATAGTTCAACAAGGATTTCCAAAAAACAAGGAGAGTCTCCTTACTTTTTAAAATGTTTTGTGTTAAAATCTTTTTTTTTAAGTAAACAGGTAAACAGTAAACCCCCTACATTCCAGCATTAATATCTTTCTGTAGTTGCTTTGTTACATTTCTCTCTATCCATTAATCCACCTAATTTTTGGTGTATGTCAAGTAAACTGCAGATATCAGGATACTTCCTAAATAGTTCAGCAAACGGGAATATCATTATCTAGAGTTCATCATTTATCTATAGGATTTTTCTTTTGATGTAAAATTTACACACAATCAAATGTGCAAATGTGTACATTTGCTGAGTTTTGACAAATGAACATTTTTATGTAACTAAAACCTTTATCAGGACATAGAACATCACCCTATGTGCCATTTTTATGCAGGTATATGACAGCTTTATTTTAAATTTTTAATGTTTATTTATTTTGAGGGAGAGAGAAAGAATGAGCAGGAAAGGGGCAGAGGGAGGGAGAGAGAATCCCAAGCAGGCTCTGCAATGCCAGCAGAGCCTGATGCGGGGGGTTGAACCCACAAACTGAAATGATGACCTGAACGGAAATCAAGAGTCAGACGCTTAACTGACTGAGCCACCCAGGTGGCTGACCGCTTTATTTATTTTTTTTAATAGTTTATTGTCAAGTGTGACCACTTTATTTTTTAAAAAAGAAGCTTCACAAGGGGAAAAAAGAAACTATTGGCAACACTTATTTTTTTTAAGTTAACTGTTCATGATAGCTTTCTTATATAGTATGCTAGAGGAGATGGCAGAACTATACATAAGGTTGAGATGTTCATTTATTTTTTAAAAATGTTTTAAATGTTTACTTTTGAGAGAGAGCACAAGTGGGTGGGGGTAGGGGCAGAGAGAGGGGGAGACAGAATCCCAAGCAGGCTCCAGGCCTCCAAGCTGTCAGCACAGAGACCAACTCGGGGCTCAAACCCACAAACCATGAGATCTTGACCTGAGCCGAAAAGTTGGACCTTCATCCAACTGAGCCACCCAGGCGCCCCGAGATGTTCATTTATGATACTCACACTGCAACAGGGATTGGCCAACTATAAATACGTCTGCCCCCTGATGTTGTCGATAAAGTTTTATTGGAGTACAGTGACACCCAGGCATTTATGTGCTGTCTAGGGCTGGTTTTGTACCATGACATACAGTGAGGTAAGTAGTTACGACAGACTGTATGGTCTGCAAAGCCTAAAATACTTAAGTTTTGGCTCTTCATAGAAAGGTTGTCCACCTCTGCTCTAGGAGATGATCTGGTATCTTTCATTGTTTCAGATAATTAATGAAATGAATAAATACATACTGACAGAACACAGATCACAGTTTAAGATCAAAGTCAAAAAAATATAAGAGACTCTTAAGTATGGAGGACAAGCAGAGGGTTACTGGAGGGGTTGTGTGTGGGGGGGTATGGGCTACATGGGTAAGGGGCATTAAGGAATCTACTGAAATCACTGTTGTACCATATGCTAACTAACTTGTATGTAAATTTAAAAAGATAAATCAAATAAAAATTTTTTAAAAAGATCAAAGTCAAGACTAAAGTGGCCAATGTAATTATTTGCTAAAAATCAGAAGCTTTGTTTCATTAATCAGTGTGTGTAGGGGGAAGGGGATAGGATGTAAGGAAGAAAAGGCCTTATAAGTAAAAAGGCACCTTAAGTTTTCTTTTTCTTAAAATTTTTTAATGTTTTATTTATTTATGAGAGAGAGAGAGAGACTGTGTGAGCAGGGGAGGGTCAGAGAGAGAGGGAGACCAGAATCTGAAACAGGCTCCAGGCTCTGAGCTGGCAGTCAGCACAGAGCCCGATGCGGGGCTCGAACCCACAAACCGAGAGATAATGACTTGAGCCAAAGTCGGACGCTTAACCGACTAAGCCACCCAGGCGCCCTGGCACCTTAAGTTTTCTTAACAAGAGATGGATTACTCTAAGGAACAAAGGTTTATTTAACAAATATAATGAATGCTTATAAGACAATTCCTTATTTTAGGCAGGTGAGAGTTAAGAAGGAAGAAGGGAAGGACAGGGAAGGAGTGATACGATGCTAGGTGTGGAGACACATTACAGCGGTTGGGGGAACACACACCAGAGAAAGAAACCTACAGGGAAAGGAGAATCTGGCACAGCGCCTGAAACAAAACACACAGATGCTCACCATGTGAAAGTTACATCATGACTGAATGAGTATAAATTAAAGGGCCTTTGTCACTTATTCTGCAGAGCTTAACTGGGCCACAGGCTTTAAAATCAGTTATTACCTGAGTCTTTATAGTCCCTTAAGTCTCGAGCTTCCATTGTGATACAGACATGGCAGGGGCCCCCGCCAGGGCTGGGTAAAACCCAGAGGGGCGGACTGGCTTGTGTTGTAAGATTCTAATAGATAGTTTATTTTCCTGAAATATCTCATTCCTATGGAAGGTCAGAGCATTCAGTAGCCCTGCATAACATTATTGGCTAAAACACAGGAGAACACTGCAGAACACGCACAACTTCCCTTTTCTCCTGGGAATAACCAACACTGCCTAAGTTACACAGAAATAATGCCCACCAGTGGTAAGGGGCTCTAGCAGGCTGGGCTGAGTATCTGCTAAGAACAAGCTCGTGAGAAAAAGATGCATCATCGCATTCATCGTGCACAAAGGGGAGGACACAACATTAAGGACAGAGGCTGGTGCTGTGAAAGGTACACACAACTTTAGAATTACCTGCAGGGCCTGCCAGAGCAAAGTCTGCTCGTCTCCAGCCCAGAAATCCAGTTCCTGATTCAGTGGGTATGAGGTGGGAGTACGGTTGCCAGGAAAATAGAAGACGCTGAACTGAATTTCAATTTCAGATAAACAACAAATAATTCTGGGGTATTATAAGTCTGCCCCAAATACTGCAAATGTTTTATCTTGTTTGCTAAATCTGGCAACACTAGAATTTGCATTTCTAACATGTTTCCAAATGATGCTAATACTGCTGGCCTGGGAAACCTACTTTGAGAAGCATGGAGATACCGGATATTACGTCATTATCAAAAAGGAAAACTCTGGGGCTTGGGGTGGGTAGATCAGGCAAGGGTTCTGGGAGGAAAGGACACAAGACAAGTCTCTAAGGATGCCTAAAGCTAGCCAGGGGAGGAAAGCCTTGAGAAAGGGAGCGGCAATATGAAAAGCTGAATATCTTAAGGAAGGCTTAACAACCAGCTGAGCGTTGCTGGGGCTTAAAGTTTAATTCAGGTGGTGCAGGTAAAAACCAGAAGGGCAGGCAGGGTCCAAAGGGCACATAAGGCCCTGGGCACCATGTTAAGCAACTGAAGTTTATACTGAAAGACCATCAGGGTAAGTGGCTGGGAGCAACTGAAGGGGTTTAATTAAGCAGAGGAGAGACTGGATCAGATACGTATTTTTTTTTTTTTGCAAATGCAATTAAAAAAATGCTTATTTATTTTTGAGAGAGAGAGAGAGAGAGACGCAGAGAAAGAGAGGGAGGCAGAGGATCTGAAGAGGGCTCTGCACTGACAGCAGAGCACCCAATGAGGGGCTCAAACTCCCCAACCGCGAGATTGTGACCTGAGCTGAAGTCGGACACTTAACCAACTGAGCCACCCAGGTGCCCCATGTGTTGTTGTTTTTTAATGTTTATTTATTTGAGACAGAGAGAAAGAGAGAGACAGAACAAGGGGGAGAGGGAGAGGGGGAGAGGGGGAGGGAGGGAGAGGGAGAAGGAGGGAGAGGGAGGGAGAGAGAATGAGTGGGGGAGGGGCAGAGAGAGAGGGAGAGACATAATCTAAAGCAGGCTTCATGCACAGTGCAGAGCCAGATGTGGAGCTTGATCCCATGATTGTGAGATCATGACTTAAGATGAAATCAAGACCTAGATGCTTAACTGCATCACCCAGGTGCTCCCAGATATGTGTTTCTTTTTTTTAAAAAATTTTTTAAATGTTTATTATTGAGAGGGAGAGAGAGACAGAGCGCAAGCAGGGGAGGGTTAGAGGGAGAGGGAAACACAGAATCCTAAGCAGGCTCCAGGCTCTGAGCTGTCAGCACAGAGCTCGATGCGGGGCTCGAACCCACAAACCACGAGATCATGACCTGAACCGAAGTCGGATGCTTAACCGACTGAGCCACCCAGGTGCCCCCCAGATATGTGTTTCTAAGAAAGATCATTTGGGCCAAAGATCAGAGCTCTATGATTATTCGCTAAGGAGTATCTGAAACGCAGTTAAAGATATTTATGGAAGCCACTTTTATCTAATTCTACACAGACACAAAGAAGGGAAGCAAATAATATGCCAGTCATGTCTTCTTTCCAACTAATCCCAGCTTTTGAAGACTAAAGCTTACCTATACAGAGAGCTACTCAATTTATTTAAAGACACTGGTAACCTAGCTCTCACTGATGCCAAAATCACAACATCTAAATTTGAAAGACACCAAATAAATGGTTATAAAACCCTGTAGTAGTTTAAAATATATCTTTTTGAAAATTCTAAAGTCTAAATTCTTTGTGTTAAACTGTTAAAAATAAGATTTAAAAATAGGTATTGACGTAACGGTGCGCACACTAATTTAAAAAAAAAAGGTTCTGACATAAACGAAAAAATACAGACGGAATACAAAAGTAACTTTCTACCTAGTATCAGCTTTCTCTTTTAGGTCTTAAATATGTTCGGGGCCCTTTCTACTGGTCAGAAATGAAACTCAGGACGGTGAAGATGTCCAGACTTCAGGCTGAGACAAGGCTAGGTGTCAGTACTCCCAACACTATGCTGGGGGTTAGAAATCCCAGACACCAGTTCTATTTTACCACCGCCTAAAATTCTGTCAACTGCAAATTGAGTTAAAGCAGATGGTCTGCAGGAGCGGCATCCCCTGTTATTATGAGTCTCTAATACCAGCAAAGGGCATTTTCAGAGAATACTTAAGAACATTCATGCGTTGTCCAACGTGTGTCTATTTAGAAGGCACTACACTATTCTTGGCTTAATCCAAGACTCTTGTCTAAGGCGCTTCCTGTCCTAGGAGGCCATGTGGCAAAAGGAGAACCCCTTTAAGTTTGGTCTTTCACCACAGCCCCAATATCTGTATTTGCAAAAGATAATTAAAGCACTGCCATGGAATGATGCTTGTGTTCACTGTCCATTCATAAAAGGACACTGGATCAGTTTTGTGAGCCTAAGGAAAAGTCAATTTGTCCATACTTCGTGTTTCTTCACCTAAAATGGGAATGATCCATGGTAACAAAAGCGAAAACGTAACATACGGTAGCTACGAAGTATGCCGTACTTAGAGACCTCTGGATCAAAGTCAAGTGCAGAGTTCTATTATTACCCAAAAGGGCAGGCTGGCTGAGGGGCGGAGGCTAGATGTATCATCTAGGCAAATGACTACTGCAAAGCCGACCTGCTTGTCCAATACCAGGGATGTTTACTAGCTTGCATCCTTGAAGTGGGCAGTTGAGGCCACTGGCAGAGATCAAGGTAGGTCTCTAGCGCGCTCCAGGATCCTGATCCCGACTCCTCTCCCGCATCCTGGGACACCGTGTACCCACAAATGCCGTACCTGTAATCGCAGAGCTTGGGCTGGCTGCCGCACTGCTGCTTGCAAACGACGCAGGAGCTGCACAGGGGCACGTTGCCCCGGATCCAGTGGTGGGGCATGGCGTCCAGGGCCCTGCCGTCGCTCTTGAGCATGATCTCCTTGCACGGGAAGCGCTTGTCGGCCTTCTTGAGGCAGCCCTCGTCCACGCGCAGCCCGCAGCAGTCGCAGAAAGCGCCCAGCAGAATGTGCTGCGTGCACACGCAGCAGTAGGTGGGCTGGCTGAACAGGTCCGTGTCGCGCCACCCGTGCTTGCTCTTGCGGAAGATGTCCCTGCGGTGCAGCTGGCGGCGGGACCGCTGGAGGCTGCACCAGAAGGTGATGAACACCGGCAGCAGCACCGAGCACAGCGTCCACAGGATCAGGTGCCCGTCGGCAAACAGGCCCTCGTAGGGCGCCGGCCGCCTCTCCCCTTCCATCTTGTCTAAGGCCGATTTCTAACTGGCAGACAAACAGGCGGGATCCTCCCGGGGCTCGCGGTCCCCGCTCGCCCGCCCTCCGCCTTTCTGGGGACACGGAGGGCGCCTCTGCCCGGGTGGCCCCGCGGTCTCCAAAGCGGAGCTCGGGCCGCGTCTTCCCCGCCGCGACCCCGGAGCCTCCAGCCGAGCCGCGCCGAGGGGGCGGTGCCCAGCGCTGTCACGCTCCTCCCCGCGCCGGGCACGGGGTCGCCCACAGGAAAAACGGACAGGCTGCCCTCCGCGGGGCCGCGGCCGCGGAGCTGGGTGCCGGGCCTCTGGGCGCGGTGGCGCACGTGGGCCGCGCAGCGCCGCCAGCCTTCGTGACCGTTAGTTCTGGGCCCGCACTCCTCGCCCCGGCGCAGCCGCTCCGCCCGGGCGCGGCCTCCCGCCGGCCCCGCCCGAGGCCTAGCGACCGGCCCCGCCCCTCAGCCCCTACCTCGCGTGGGCGGAGGCGCGGCTCCGGGACCAGGCCTGGGGCCGCCCGCAGGCCGCCGCGCCCACCTGCAGACCTCCGGGGGCCGCCGGCGCGCCGACGCCGACGCCGGCGAAGGGCAAAGTGAGCAGTGCGCACGCCGAGCCGGGCGGCGCGGCCACGGGCGGGGCGGGGCGGGGCCTGCGGCGCGAGCCCCGGGGCGCAGCGGAGGTGTGGGGTGGGACGCGGCGGCCGACGCATCTGGGGGCGGGGCGGGCCTTGGGGAGAGGGCGGAGCCGGGTGGAAGGGGCGGGTACGAGGGCGTGGCTTAGAGAGACCGGTGGGCGGAGTAACCGTAAGGTGAGGGCTGTAGAGAGGATGCAGGGTTGAGCCTTCCAGGTCCGTAACCATAGTGTAGGAAGTTCTCGTATGAACGATTTGCAGGAAGCCCATCTATGACCTTCAACTTCCCCCACCTCTCTCAGTGGCGGAGGTGGGAGCTGGTACAGTTTTGAATGTTGGGAGGAAACTGGCAGATTTGAGTATTATATACTGAAAGAATGAGGCAGACAATCCAAGTAAAAAATTCTTACTAGTTGTTTATTAAACCCACACAGGCTTACGTTGAGCCAAACACTGAGCCCTAGCTCTTACAGAGTGCCAGTCCTGTTGAAACAAACCCGACAAGAAGCATTTATTTAGCCTATTAAAAAATGGTTTGCTGCACCCCTGCTTTCATCTCTGCACTTGCTAGACACCAGGCTGAGTTTATCATTCCCGTTTTCCAGATGAGGAAAACCGAGGTGCAGAGTGGCAGAGAAACATGCTTGATGGCTCCTAGGCAATGTTGGGACTGAGATCCCTTTGTTTTATCTTGGTCATCCAAGTTAGCTTCAATCCAAATTAAACCGTCAAAGGAGAGAGTGTCTCTTATTTTGTTACATCTCTAAAAACATTGCCTCTGGAGATATTGTTAAAATGCTGGTTCTAATTCTCTTTCTTGGGGAAGAGGGGTTGAAAGTCTGCATTGGTAACACAGGGTCAAGTGGTGCTGATGTTGATGGTTCCTGGGCTGCATTTTGAGTAGGGATCTAAAGTGTCCAGCCATCTGGATTATGAAGATTGGGGGTGGGCTGTGGTAAAGTGGGAAGAGTGTGTGGCGGCATTGTGAGGCTTGGATCAGAGACATCCTGGCCATCCACATCTGTGAATCCTATTTGAGGCAGAGCCCTTAATTTAGTTTCGATTTGAAAACATAACAAAGAATATACTTTTAAAAATTGAGGGGTTAAAAAAAAATTCCCATTATAGAACATTTGGAAAACGTAGAAAAGAAAAAAGGCAAAGAAAGAATCATCCATCTCTCACCCCAAAGACAACCTGTGTTTGAACATGTAGGCATATTTTTTCATTATTTTCAACGGAAACTGGTTTATTTTTTCCTGTACATAATTTTGATTCTATGGTACATATATTCTCTATCTGGCTGTCTTTTCATTTACAAAATAACTTTTCCAAGCTTTTATGAATTTGTATATAATGGTTGCATTCTATGGAGATAGTTCACAGTTGTGAACTTACCTCCATTTTTGGCCATCTGTCTTTAATATTTTGCTATTATTTATAATTTATCATTCTCATTTTACAGACGAGGAAGACTTGCTTGATGTCACACAACCAGGAGTTAAGTGAGTTGGGGCTTTGACCTCAGTTTGATGTCTACATGCTCTGAAGCCAGGCGGGTAGCTCAAGATATGGTCTTTGACCACCTGCTTAGCATCATCGAAAAATGTGGATTCCCAGGTCTTGACCAGGTCTTTCCAATCAGAATTACAGTGGTGCTGAGATGCTGCCTGCTTAACAAGTCCCCCAGGTGATCCTTTCATTTTCTTATCCAAGCTTTTTTTTTGGGGGGGGGTGTTAAATTGTGAAATCTATCACAAGTACAAAATATCCTGTGAAACGTATAAGAACATATATGCAGTTAAACATATGTGCAGTTAGAAACAATAATAAAATAAACACCTGGGTACCCACCACACAGCTTGACATATTGAACATTCAGAGCCTCTCCTGTGCCCACCTGATTGCTACCCTCATCAGGAAACAACTACTATCCTAATTTGTAGCTCCTTCGCTCCCTTGCTTTTCTTTAAAGTTCTACCATCCCTGAAAGGATCCCTCTTCCCAAATATAGTTTTGTTTTGAAAAGCAAGCCCAAACCTGGTCCTGTCAGGAAACAGCAGTGAAGCTACTAATGTATGAAGGCTCCTGGAGGAGATGGGCTGAGTCTGGGGCAGAGTTTGAATCCAGCTTCCTGGAGGAGAGCCCTCGTGAGATGATCAGAAGGCATGATCTTGGGAAGATTGCTAATGACAGTGAGGCCGACTGACCAGGGCTGTAGTTTGAACATCAGGCAGAAATCTGGCTGGGAGAGGGGCTGTTTCCATGTTTCCTTAGTTTCTTAGGATTTCCTTCAGGTTCTTGGAGAAAGGTTCACGTGGCACCTTGCTCCAGAAGGAGTATTCAGCTGCTCCAGGCAAAGTGTGTGGGGCGGGGGAAGCAGGAACTTTGTCAGTTCGTAGGTTTTGGTCAAAGCACAAATAAATAGGAACCTGGTTCACCCAGGCAGTCGGTCCTCAGTGTGTCGTGACGCAGACCACACTTGTGCCAACCTGGAGTGTCTGCCGTCTGCGTCAGAGCACAGGGGTCGCCTTGGGATTTCCCTTCATGGCTATTCTGTTTGCACCTTCTGTTCCCTGGGTTCTGGCATTTGGCCTTTCTTGGTGAGTTCTCTTGTCTTTGTGGAGCACACCCATCAGTTCCTTTAGGAACAAAGGTACATGGGAAGTATTGTGTTGAATCCTTGGATGTCTACAGATACCCTATTCCACCCTCCATACCTGATTATTTATCTGGGTATAGAGTTCAAAGCTGGAAATGATTTCCCTGCACGACCTTGAAGACATTGCTCCATTTCTAGAGAGAGAGGGAGACACAGAATCTGAAGCAGGCTCCAGTCTCTGAGCTGTCAGCACAGCCTGATGCGGGGCTCGAACTCATGAAAGGCGAGATCATGAGCTGAGCCAAAGTCAGACGCTCAGCCGACTGAGCCACCCAGGCACCCCGACGTTGCTTCATTTCTGCTTGCTTTGAATGTTGCTGTAGAGATGTCTAAGGTTATGCTTATTCCTGACCCCTTGAATGGGCATTATTTGTGCTTCCCGGAAACTTGTAGAATCTTCTCTTTTTCTCCAGTGTTCTGAAATTTCACAGATGTGTGCCTGGTGTGAGTCTGTTTTTAATGTATTTTGCCAGGTTTGGTGGGTGCTTTCAGTCTAGCAGCTCATGTCTTTTGGTTCTAGAATTACTTTGTTAATTTCCTCCCCTCTATTTTCTGTGATCGTCTTTTTAAAAAAAAGTTAATTAATTAAAACAATTTTTTAATGTTTATTTATTTATTTATTTATTTATTTTAATTTTTTTAATGTTTTATTTATTTCTAGGAGAGAGAGAGACAGCGTGAGCAGGGGAGGGTCAGAGAGAGAGGGAGTGACAGACTCTGAAGCAGGCTCCAGGCTCTGAGCTGGCAGTCAGCACAGAGCCTGACGCGGNGGGGAGGGTCAGAGAGAGAGGGAGTGACAGACTCTGAAGCAGGCTCCAGGCTCTGAGCTGGCAGTCAGCACAGAGCCTGACGCGGGGCTCGAACCCACGAACCGCGAGATCATGACCCAAGCGAAAGTTGGACGCTTAACCGACTAAGCCACCCAGGCACCCCAATGTTTATTTATTTTTGAGAGAAACGCAGAGACAGAGAGTAGGAGAAGAGCACAGAGAGGGAGACAAAGAATCTGAAGCAGCCTCCAGGCTCCAGGCTCCGAGCTGTCAGCACAGAGCCCCATGCGGGGCTTGAACCCACGAGCTGTGAGATCATGACGAGCCAAAGTCGGGTGCCTAATCGACTGAGACACCCAAGTGCCCCTAATTTATTTATTTTGAGAGAGAGAGAGAGAGAGAAAACAAGCGACTGCATGTGCAGGGGAGGGACAGAGAGGAAGAGGGAGAGAATCCAGAGCAGAATCCACCATCACAGAACCTGACGTGGGGCTCAAACTCACGAACCATAAGATCATGCCCTGAGCCGAAATCAAGAGTTGGATGCCCAACCGACTGAGATACCTAGGTGCCCCTGTGATCTCCTTTTTAAAACTTCTCTTATTTAGATGTTGGACCTCGTAGACTGTCTTCCCTCTTTCTCTCTCTTTTTTAAAATAGACTTTATTTTTTAGAGCAGATTTAGGTTCACAGAAAAATGGAGTAGAAAGCACAGAGATTTCAGGTATAGCTCCTGTCCCCACACAGGCAGAGCCTCCCCCACCAGAGTGGTGCATTTTTGAAAAGATTTTTAAATCTTTATTTGTGTGAGAGAGATGAAGTGTGAGTGGGGGAGGGGCAGAGAGAGGGAGACAGAATTTGAAGCAGGCTGCAGGCTCTGAGCTGTCAGCACAGAGCGAGACATGGGGCTCAAACTCAAGGACCGTGAGATCATGACTTAAGCCCAAGTTGGATGCTTAACGGACTGAGCCACCCAGGTGCCCCAGAGTGGTGCATTTGTTACCAACGATGAACCTCCGTTAACACACCATTGTCCCCCAAAGTCCCTAGTTTGCTTTAGGCCTCACTCTTGGTGGGGCACATTCTATGGCTTTGGACAAATGTATAATGACACGTACCTACCATTATAGCAACATACAGAATAGTTTCACTGCCCTAATTCTCCATATTCTGCCTGTTAATTTTCTCCCCAGTCCCCAGCCCTTGTAACCACTGATCTTTTTACCATTTCCATAGTTTTGCTTTTTCCAGAATGTCATATTGTTGGAATCATATCATATGCAGCTCTTTCAGATTGGCTTTTTTTCATTTAGTAATAGGCATTTAAGGTTCCTCTGTTTTCATGGCTTGATAGCTCATGTCTTTTTAGTGCTGAATAGTGTATTGCACTGTTTGGAATATTACTCATCAGTTTATTTATCCATTCACATACTGGAGTTCATCTGGTTGATTCCAAGTTTCGGCAATTATGAATAAGTGACTGTAGGCCTCTGTGTGCAGGTTTTTGTGTGGACATAACTTTTCAACTCATCTGTATAAATGTCCTCTCTTTAAAAATACTTTTTCTCACTTGCTTTGTTGTTGTTTTTTTAAACTTCCCTCCTCTCTCAATGTCTCTCTCTCTCTCTCAATTTGGCTCTGTTTTTCTAAAATATTTCCATAGCTTTATCTTTGGATCTTTTGATTAATTTTTTAATTTCTAAGAACGTCTTTTTTGAAAAACATTTAATGTTTATTTTTGAGAGAAAGAGACAGAGTGTGAGGGGCAGAGAGAGAGAGGGAGACACAGAATTAGAAGCAGGCTCCAGGCTCTGAGCTGTCAGCACAGAGCCCAACGCAGGGCTTGAACTCATGAACCATGACTCAGAGGATAGTATTGGATAGTTGTCTTCTCCTTCTCTCCTTGCATGGTCTCTGATGGCCCCATGTTGCTTTTCCCTTTGGTTTCCTTTGTCTTCATTTTCCATGGGAGAGACTTTCACAGATGTTGGGTGATTCTTTATTTTTTTTATTTAATTTTTTAAAAGCTTTTTATTTATTTCTGAGAGAGAGAGGGAGGTACAGAATCTGAAACAGGCTCCAGGCTCTGAGCTAGCTGTCAGCACAGAGCCCGATGCGGGGCCCGAACCCATAAACTGTGAGATCATGACCTGAGCCGAAGTCGGACGCTTAACTGACTGAGCCACCCAGGTGCCCGATGTTGGGTGGTTCTTATGCTGCTTAAGGTTAAGGAACCCAGGCTAGGGTGTCTCTTAGTCTCTCTGAAGCTTATCCCGACTGAGAGCCCACAGAGAAAAACAACACAGATTTCAGGATCTCTTCCTCAGAAGAATCAAACTTTTCTTTCCCAGTTGAAGGCCTAGCACTTTTCTTGAATGAAGTATAATATGACAGCAGCCTTAGAAGTGGTTTCACAAATTGTTTGGTCCATGCCCCACTCCCCTAGCATGTTTATTTGTACCATCGTACGTTCCCAAACTTTGCCAGTTCCTCTGCCATTCCTGTTTAGGTTGGAGGGATGCCTGGCACTGGCCATCAGGAATCTGATGCTGACCTTGGCTGTCCTCACCTATTGGGCAGATGTACGCTGGGGCCAATGTCCTGGACACAGAGCAGAAATTACAGCCCACTGTGGAAGCATGCAGCAGGCCAGAAAGGCTCCTGTCCAAGGCCAAACCATCTTACCATTGTATTATTGCTCCAGACAGGAAGGTACGTGTTTGTGTAGAAGTCCTGAGGATATGAGAAGGGAAGCCAAGGGCACAGGGCGTGGAGATGGGGGGAAATCAACTCCTATTGAAAAGGGGCCGTATTTCCTTTTCTTTTCTTTTTTTTTTTTTTAACTTTTTGTTTGTTTGTTTTTTTCATTTTTTTTTTTATTTATTTCTAGGAGAGAGAGAGAGAGACAGCGTGAGCAGGGGAGGGTCAGAGAGAGAAGGAGTCACAGACTGAAACAGGCTCCAGGCTCTGAGCTGGCAGTCAGCACAGAGCCCGACGCGGGGCTCGAACCCACAAACCGCGAGATCATGACCTAAGCGAAAGTCGGACGCTTAACCGACTAAGCCACCCAGGTGCCCCCGTATTTCCTTTTCTAATTAACCTGGATTTTTATTTCAACAACATATAGAATTATATATCTTAATATGTGTTTGATTAATCCCCATGTCATTTGGTCATTCAGAAATCTTCTATGGACTTTCTATCACGTGTCTGAGAAAGGAGTGGGTATGCGTATGAAATTTAAGCAAAGGTGATTCACAAATCATCTTTCACAGATGAGAAGGAGAAATAGAAAGAATAGTGACAACACCAATAGTGGTTTCCAGGTATTAGATCCTTCCCGGATTTGTCAAGTGCCTTACATATACTTTCTCTTTTAAGTCTCAAAACAGGGGTGCCTTGGTGGCTCAATCGGTTAAGCATCCAACTTCGGCGCAGGTCATGATCTCATAGCTCTGGAGTTCAAGCCCCATGTCGGGCTCTGTGCTGACAGCTCAGAGCCTGGAGCCTGCTTCAGATCCCGTGTCTCCTTCTCTGCCCCGCCCCCACTTGCTCTCCTTCTCTCTCTGTCTCTCAAAATGAATAAACATTAAAAAAAAAATTTTTAAGACGTAACTTATGTTGTAATTATTATTCTTTTCTCATAAACAAAAAAGCAGTATTTGGACAGTTCAGAAATCTGCCCAATTCCAGCTTCGGTGTGACCCAGGTATTAAGCTTCAGAACCAGGATTGAAGTTCAGGTTCATTGATGGCTCAGTGCTCCACAGTCTTGACCATTACACCACATGGCCTACGCAGGAGATATTCACTCCCTTTTGAGTGAAGCTTCCAGCAGGACCCTATGATTAACTCAAATCCAGTAGCACCCAGGTTTGGACACACTACCCATCTCCTAAGAGCCCCTTGTATGGGTTAGCTATTTTCACAGTGATGCTGTGTAACAAACCACTCCTAGACTCAGTGGCGTACAATAACAATCACGTAATCTTAAGGATCTGCAGGCTCCCGGGTGGCTGTGCTTCATGCCGTGGTGGTTGGAGGCCAGGGGAACTAGGTGGGGCTGGGTTGAGTGAGTCTACTCCAAGCTGTGCGTCTGTATAGGCTGAGCTCCTTGCTCAGGTACTTTCCATCTGAGTTAATTTTGAGACTCAGCTTGAAGGGGGGAGGGGCGGTAGCTTTCTGGAGGAAGCTCTTTTTGTAGCAATGGCAGAAATGCAAGAGGGCACAACTACGTGCAGAGACACTCTGCATATACCCTGTCTGTGTTGTGCCTGATACCATCCCATCGTCTGAAGCAAGTCTCTTGGTTGAGCCCAAGGTCAAAGGGCAGGCCTGCAAGATCACATGGTAAAGAGCACACACATGTGGTGATGGTAAAGAATTGGTGCTAATGATTTAACACACCACACCTGCACTCGTGTGCAGCTTGCAGAGTTACTACTATAAAAATTATAGAAGAATTGTACATATACCATAAAAATATAGAATTCATAATCTAGTGGAGAAGGTAGACAATAAACAAAAGAAAACGACTACAGGGGTGCCTGGGTGGCTCAGTCGGTTAAGCGTCCAACTTTGGCTCAGGTCGTGATCTAACGGTTCATGGGTTCGAGCCCTGTGTCAGGCTCTGTTCTGACAGCTCAGAGCCTGCAGCCTGCTTCAGATTCTGTATCTCCTCCTCTCTCTGACCCTCCCCTGCTCACGCTGTCTCTCTCTCTCAGAAATAAATAAAAACATTAAAAAAAAGAGAAAACAACTACAAAAAGTAATATTACATATTGTCTAATTGACTCTGGGCCTAAAGAATGTGGACACATTATAATCCTCTTGGGGCAGATTCAGCATCTCTCTGTATTATTATTATTATTATTATTTTAAAGATGTTCCCTTGTCCCTTGAAGTTTCTTTACTGACAGAATTTCAAATCACTGTCTTCTCCTTTCAAGAGAATATATGGTGGGATGATATTGGGAGCTTGATGGTGTCAGGTTTTTCACTGATCTGTAAACATCAGTTTAATTTAAGAATTCCTTTTATTTTTTATTTTTTTATTTTATTTTTTTTAAATATTTTTATTTATTTCTAGGAGAGAGAGAGAGAGAGAGAGAGAGAGAGAGATAGCGTGAGCAGGGGATTGTCAGAGAGAGAGGGAGTCACAGACCGAAACAGGTTCCAGGCTCTGAGCTGGCAGTCAGCACAGAGCCCGACGCGGGGCTCGAACCCACGAACCGCGAGATCATGACCTAAGCGAAAGTTGGATGCTTAACTGACTAAGCCACCCAGGCGCCTCTATTTTTTATTTTTTTAAAGATTTTATTATTAAGTAATCTCTGCACCCCACGTGAGGCTCGAACTCACAACTCTGAGCTCAGGAGTTGCATCCTCTACTGACTGAGCTAGCCAGGTGCCCCGAGGATTCCTTTTAAGAAGAGTCGGGAAGTTCACACAAATGGAGGTATCAGCTATGTTCGGACTCTGTGAATGTGGGTGGGAGTATTCCTGTTGGTAGTTCATAGTGCAGCATTTCTAGGCCTCAGCATCAAGGAAGACCTTCAGATTGATTCAAATCCTAGGAAAATAGTCTGAGGCACTGCAGCACCATCTCTCTCCATCTCTAGTGCAGTCTCTGGTACTCCTGGCAGCTTCTAGAACAGTTAACCTTGGTGACCTTGAGTTTCTTTCCCCTGACCTTGGAGGTCCCTGCTTCTGCTCTGTAGTCTGCCACCTTGTGGAGATTTGGGGAATTGCATCTTCAACTGAGCTCCCTGCAGATTCACCTGATTAAATTTTAAAAATGTTTATATATTTTTGAGGGAGAAAGACAGAGCGTGAGCAGGGGAGGGCCAGAGAGAGAGAGGGAGACACAGAATCTGAAGCAGGCCCCAGGCTCTGAGCTGTCAGCACAGAGCCCAACGTGGGGTTTGAACCCTCAAACCGAGAGATCATGACCCAAGCCAAAGTCAAATGCTTAACCGACTGAACCACACAGGCACCCAGATTCACTTGATTGATCTGGCTGCTGCTTTCCCTGGGAATAAGGGTATGTGGTAGAAAAGAATTCTTTTCACCAGAGTAGCGCTTACTACAAAGTGGCCTTGCTTGTTTAGTTTTCCTATAGTTCCCCCTTTGGAACAATATTGGCACAGGCCCCCCTGAAGGACATTTGAATGGCCCAGCTGTCACAGCTGAAGACCCCTCTCCACCAACATCGCAGCGTGGGACACAGGTCCCTGACTTTCTCCAGTAGGACCTCTCCAGTTCACCAGAGGTTCCTTTTTTCTTTTTTTTAATTACAAAAGTAATAATACGCTTCCTTAGAGGTTATAGTACAGTGGAAGAGACAGAGTTTTAAAAGTAAACAAAGCCAGTATTTACACATTACGGTGAGTACTATGAGATGGAGTGTAATGGTAGTGGTGGTGGGCTGGCAGGGAATCTTCATTAGATTGGTAAAGACAGGCTTGCCTGAGCAAGAGAACTTTCAAATCAAAGCCTGAAGGATGAGAAGGATCCAGTCATTAAAAGTGTGAGGAAGAGTATGTGCAAAGGTCTTGAGGTGGGAAGAGTTTGTTAAGCAGAAAATAACCGTGTGTGTGTGTGTGTGTGTGTGTGTGTGTGTGTGTGTGTGGCTGGATTGAGGTAAGCCAGAGTAGGGCTGGAAAGAGCACAGGGTCCTGTAGTGCATGGTAAGGATTCTGATTTTGGAGATGATAAGAAAGGATTCTTAGGGAAGTGATGAGGTCCATTTCCTATTTTATATTTCTATTTTAAGAAGACCATCATTGCTGCTGCATGGAGAATGGATCGAAGTGAACAGGAGGGGAGGCTGGGAGACTAGTTGGGAGCCTGGTGCCAGAAGCTGGGGGAAGGGTGACAGTAGCCTCGATTCAGGTGGTGGCCAGAGATGGAAGGATCTAGACCCATGCCGTCCAATATGGTAGCCACCAGCCACATGTGGTTACTGAGCCCTTGAAATGCATGAATGTTAAATATATACTGTAGTTCGAAGGCTTGGTACAAAAAGCCTCGGGAAATATCTCATAATTTGCTTAGCTTTATTACATATCGACATAGTAATATTTTTGGTATTTCATGATACATAAGGTAGGATGTAAAAAAACCTTCACCTTTTTATTTTCACTTAACAAATGTGCCTATTAGAAAAATTTAAATTATGTATGCGGCTTGCATCTGTGGCTCACATCCTGTTTTTATTAGACATGGCTGATATAAACAAAAGTTACTGAATTTAAAAAGTACTTTTGTAGGGGCACCTGGGTGCCTCAGTCTGTTAAGCATCCAACTTCAGCTCAGGTCATGATCTCACAGTTTGTGGGTCCAAGCCGCACGTTGGGCTCTGCGCTGACAGCTCAGAGCATGGAGCCTGCTTCAGATTCTGTGCCTCACTGTCTCTCTGCTCCTCCCCCACTCACATCCTGTCTCTCTGTGTTTCTCAATAATAAATAAATGTTAAGAAAACTTAAAAATACTTTTGTAGTAAATTCACATTGGACACATTAGAAATTTCTAGCTAGGTATACATTTTCTGGTCCACTGAAAGTATGTATTTGATAAAACAATACGGTTAGTGTTCGATTCAACCACACGAGCAAAAGCAATGACAGATTTGACAATGCACGTAAAAAACCACAAGGTGTGTAATGTGGCAAATGTCTATTCGTAGAATAATGCTCCTAAAATTCCTCGGTTATTGAAAGCTGCATAAAAACAGAAGGGTGTTAACAGCGACCAAGAGCATAATACTGAAGATCTAATTCTGAGCAACTTTGCTGATGATGCATGACTTTTTCCTCTTGTTTACAATCTTCTGTTCAAAGTGTCTTTATTCCAGCAGAGTGCGTAGGACGTTCAGGTTCGATATCAGTTACACAGCATTAGCATTCATTTGGACAACTGCGATGAGAACACTGTTTTCCTCTGAGCTGGGTAAAGTGACCCCAGAAGCAGCAGATCATTTCTCTGACTCGAGAACTTCATCCCTGTAAATGCCACATATCTTCCAGACGTTGTAAAGAATATATTTAATAATTTCTTTATGTAATATTTACAGATGATTTGAATTTAAAAGAACTTCAGATTACTGAGATTTTATTATCTTCATAAAAATAACCTTGAGTCTGAAATGGGCTGCTTACCCCTCTGATAGCATGTTGCAGGAGGCCCTTTTGGGGATAATGGGAAGGGCAGTAGCCTTTAAAGACGGAAGAATTTGCCTCTACTTCAGCATCCATAGAGCATGAACTTGGATATGGTTTCACCTCTCCAAACCTCACGTTCTTGTTTTTTCTTGAATGTTTGTTTATTTTGAGAGAGATAGAGAGCAAGTGGGGAGGGGGTGCAGAGAGAGAGAGGGAAGGAGAATGAGTGAGTTCTCACCTCACTCACAAATGGTGAGACCATGACCTGAACTGAAATCAAGAGTCAGACGCTACTGACTGAGCCACCCAGGTGCCCCTCACTTCCTTATTTGTAAAATGGATATGGTGCTAGCTGCTGCTTATCCCTCATCTTTAATCACACCCACAAGGTAGGGACCTTTTCTCCTTTGTTACAGGGGTGGAAACCAAAGTTCAGAAAGGGTAAGTGATTTACTGAAGGTTACATTGCTAGAAAGAGGTGAAGCTAGGACACGAACCCTGGGCATCTGGCTCCAAAGTCAGAACAAAAATGTCCCCTTTACCATGCCCCTTGCCAGTTTCCCTGCCTACCTCTGAAACTATTAGAAAGGTCAAATCCAATTAGTGAACGGTCTTTGGAGAGATGTCATACAATGTGCAAATGTAAGAGACGATTAACGGAAGAGATGAAAACAGGAGCGAAAACAGACACAAACCAGAGTATGATGTAGTTTCAGTGGAGTGAATATCACATGCTGCTTTCTCCACTTGGTGCTCTGAAACTCACATCACAGGGGGGTGATTTCCTTGCTCAGGATGAAAATATACAGGGATTCAGAGGGAAAACAGTTTAGTGGTGATACTAAAAACTCAGAGTCAGATGCACTTAACGTCATACCGTAAGCGTAGTTAGTCGCAGCATAAACAAGCAGGGGGCCGGAAGTGGCTTCCTTCAAGTAGGCTGGCCCATTTGGGGGGGCGTTCATTCTGCAAGAGGCTGTGAGTGGAACAAAGACAGAATGAAGAAGCTATTTGTGCTTGTCCTCTGCCTTACCTTACTGACTTGCTTCTCAGGTGAGCATGAATTCTGAAAACAGCCTATTTCCATGCTGACATGATAAGCTGGAATAAGCCTATTTTATATTAAAAAATTTTTTTTTCATTTCAAAGAATATGTAACATATAATAATTCAGTGCTTCGCCCCCCCCCCCCCAAGAGCAGGCTCCCAGAATTGCTATCGTTAGGGATAAATTATTTCTTTAGAAATAGAAATTAGAAAAAATATTTAGAAATGGAAATAAGAAAAATTATTTGTAATTTATTATTATCCTTATTTTTTAAATGTTTTATTTATTTCTAGGAGAGAGAGAGAGAGAGAGACAGCATGAGCAGGGGAGGGTCAGAGAGAGAGAGAGGGAGACACAGACTCTGAAACAGGCTCCAGGCTCTGAGCTGGCAGTCAGCACAGAGCCCGACGCGGGGCTCGAACCCACAAACTGCGAGATCATGACCTAAGCAAAAGTCGGACGCTTAACTGACTAAGCCACCCAGGGGCCCCCTTTTTTTTTTTTTATGTTTTTATTTATTTCTAAGAGAGAGAGAGACAGCATGAGCAGGGGAGAGTCAGAGAGAGAGGGAGACACAGACTCCGAAACAGGCTCCAGGCTCTGAGCTGGCAGTCAGCACAGAGCCCGATGCGGGGCTCGAACCCATGAACTTTGAGATCATGACCCAAGCGAAAGTCGGATGCTCAACCGACTAAGCCACCCAGGCGCCCCACCAGGCGCCCCTTTTATTATTTTTTAAAAGTTTTATTTATGTTGTATTTATTTAAGTAATCTGTGTACCTGAAGTGGGGCTTGCACTCATGACCCAGAGATCAAGAGTCGCATGCTTTACCGACTAAGCCAGCCAGGCGCTCCTATTTTCTTAATCTTTAAATGTATTTGAGTATTAATTCTCAGAAATGCTGATAAATCTTCAACTACACAGTCTTTTAGAGTTCAGATGTCATCATCAAAACTTGACAGACTGTTATTTGATGATAAAATTTGGAGTTTGTATGTGATTATCAAAACTCAATATAATTTTACTATCATATCTTCTTTGAGAGATCATGTGTAATTATCAAGTTTAACACAGTCTTGTTCTCAGAAAGAATCTTCCAGTAACAACTTTTAGCTGATTTAGTGCTTTCGGGATTAAAAAAATAACAACAACAACAAACCATCAAAGCAACCCTAAGGGACAAGAAACACATTGACCAGAGAATTGAAGAAAATATGCTTTAAAAAACTTACTCTGGGGTATCTGGCTGGCTTGGTGGAGATGCAACTCTTAGTCTTGCAGTTGTGAGTTCGAGCCCCACATTGAGCATAGAGATTATTAAAAGAAAAAGAAAAAGAAAAAGAAAAAAATCCCATATTCATTAAATTAGCACCCACTTTTAAAGAAATGCACCATTGCAATAAGTAGATATGTTTACATTGTGCCGCGTTGGCTCTGAGTTTACCATGTTAGAAACAATTTAGAATCCCCCGCCGAGCTCTCTGGAATGCCACGTCCTTTGGGACAGGTCCCTGTGAAAGAGCTTTTGTGTTTGACCGAAGTCGAGCTTGCAAATCCTTGGCCTTGGACGGTGAGCTGGAGCCTGAGCTCCTGTTGCCAGAGTCCCTAAGGTGCCTGCCTGACTGTTTCAGGGGCGTCGCCGATTCTGACGGAAAAGCAGGCCAAGCAGCTCTTGAGGTCCCGACGGCAGGACAGGCCGAGCAAACCGGGGTTCCCTGACGAGCCCATGCGGGTGAGTGCCGGGCTCCCGCGGTCCGAAGGGAAGCGCCACCACCTGAATGTTCATTCTCCACGGAACCGAATCGAGCCCGGTGCTGGTCCCGGCCCGGCGGGGCTGCTGGACGGAGGTCCCGTGGGGTCTCAGTGTCAGGTGACCTCAACCTTTTGCTCTTGCCTTTTCTCGTCCGGAGGCGCCAGCCCCATGCACCTGCTCTGCACACGGTATTTCAAACGGAAACAGCTGGGCCGATGGCCAGAGTCCCAGGATGCCCCGTGGGTGGCCAGATGTCACCCCTGAACGGGACGCCAGGGAGCTGTGTCCTGTAAGTTGGGGCCGACCGCCTGTTCCTCCTCTTCCCCTGGGCGCCCAGCAAGCTGCACCAGCACCCTCGCCCTCGGTCAGCGACGCTCTGTCTGCACAGGCAGCGTGTGTGCCCTGCGGCCTGTGGGGGCTCTGGCCAGACCTCCTGCCTCTGAGTTTGGCCCTCAGTCCCCGGCCTGCCCTGGGGGTTTGTGGGGGCCACCCGCCTTTCTTTCTGAACCGGGGCACCCTTCCCTGCCTCCACGTTGTGACTTGTGGGGAGAACTTGCAGAGAAGCTGGCTAGAAGGTTTACTCCAGGGCTCATCGTTTAGGGTTCTGGATAGAGCTTCGGGAACGATACAGAAGGAGAAGCCGAGGGTAGCAGGACGCGGCCCCAGGCGAGGAGCCAGAGGGCTCATGTCGAGGCCCCTAGAGGGCTTCTCTAAAGCGCCAGGGCCGCCTCCCTTCGAGCTGGCCCTTCGGCTGCACCTGAAATCCTACACTTATGTCTGACCTCTTCCTCCACCTGGGATGTCGTTGTTGACTTCTCCTTTTTATGGATTTCTTGAGAGCAAAGTGAGTAATACCAATCACCTCCCATGGAAAAGAAGCGATTTGCTCGTTTTAGGTGAGCGGCTGGCATTATAGTGATCCTGGTCCTGCATCACTGTTGAACGTGAGCATTGGACGCCGTGACCCCCCCTCACATTGTCAGCAGGTCAGGAGCAGGCCGCAGGGGAGGGCAGGGGCTGCTGGGCGGAACTGCCCCCCAGGCTCACGTCCTACAGTGTGGGCACCAAGGGGTTAAGTTACTCTGATCTGTGGGGAACCACACTGCCCTGTTCCTTACCTTTTGCCAAGACCACCTGCTGCCTTCCTTGTTTCTCTGTGCAAACCATCTGCTCAGATGTCCCTTGGCTAGGGAAACGGGCAGGTGGGTGCACTGTCCTGTGCATTCGGGATTGGAGATATCATGTGTGTTGTGTATGGGTGTGTGTGTATGTGAGAGGGTGTTGTGTGTAAGTGCGTATTGTATGTGTGAGGCTATATTGTGTATGTGAGGGTGTGTGTGTGAGGAGGTGTTGTGTATATAAGGATGTGTATATATGTGAGAATGTGTGTTTGACTGTGTGAGTGTGTGTATATGTGAGGATGTGTATATACATGTGAGCGTGTGTGTACGTATGGGTATGTGTGTGACTGTGTGTGTATATATGTGTGTGAGGTTGTATGTGTGAGAGCGTGTGTATATGTGAGGATGGGTATGTACATGTGTGTCCACATGTATAGCTATGTGTATGACTGTGTGTGAGGTTGTATGTGTATATGTGAACATGTGTGTGTATGTGAGGTTGTGTGTGTATATGTGAGTGTGTGCGTATGTATGGGTGTGCATATGACGGTGTGTGAGGTTGTGTGTGTGTGTGAGTGTGTGCATATGTATGGGTGTGTGACTGTGAGTGTATGTATGTGTGTATGTGAGTGTGTGTGTGGTTGTGTGTGTATATGTGAGTGTGTGCATATGGATGGGGGTGTGTGTGTGACAGTGTGTGTATGTGAGGTTGTGTATATGTGAGTGTGTGTATGTATGGGTGTGTGTGTGACTGTGTGTGTGGTTGTGTATATGTCAGCGTGTGCATATGTATGGGTGTGTGTATGACTGTGTTGTGAGTTTGTGTGTGTATGTGAGTGTGTGCATATGTATGGGTGTGTGTGTGTGACTGTGTGTATGTGTATGTGAGGTTGTGTATGTGTGAGCATGTGTGTATGTATGGGTGTATGTGTGACTGTGTGTGAGGTTGTGTGTGTATGTGTGTACATATGTATGGGTGTGTGTGTGTGTGACTGTGTGTGTATGTATGTGTGTATATGTGAGGGTGTGTGTATGTATGGGTGTGTGTATGACTGTGTATATGTATGTATGAGGGTGTGTGCATGTATGTTTTGAAAAAGACCTCGCAGAGTACTTTTTCAGAAGGTCTGGATTCCAATTCCCTCCCTTCCACTTTTGACCTTGACTTGAGTACCTGGAACGCAGGGAAGAATAGGCGATGGCAAGGGAAGGTCCTCTAGGGCCAGGCTGGAAGGCCACGGCTGACACAGCAGAGGTGACTTCGTTCTGTAGTCAGTCGGAGGACCTTAAGCAGGGGAGTGAGGAGATCGGAGCCAGGGGACCAGAGCCATGCAGAGGTCAGGGACACAGCCTCTTCAACACTGCCCTTCAGATGCCACTCAACACGGGTAATGGGAAATGACATTTAGACAGGTTGTCGCCCCTCCTTGCCATGGTACCCGGGAGACAGACAGGTGGACGGGACCAATGAGCAGAAGATGTGATTTCTGGGGAGTGCGTATGCCCTTGGGACCTGAGCCTTGACTCCTGTGCTCCCCTCTAGCTCGAAATCCCCGAGAGATGACTGGTTGGGTTATCTTATCTTGCTTCTCCCCTCTGATGGACTGTGCAAAACAAAACAGGTTCACAGAGAGGAGAGGCCAGTGATGGGCGTGAGTGAGTGGGACTTTCAGGAGGTATTTAGAATTCAACATGCAAACGAGTATGAAGATTTGCAGCAGATCGTATTTACTAAGCAATGCTTATAATCTTGACGTGTGGCTCAAGTATTGGCAGGTGTTGGCTTCGGCAGAAAGATGGGTTTTTTGGAGACAGGTTCAGACAAGCTGTGCCCCATGCCTCCAAGGGGAGGGACTGTTCTGACCCTGTGAATACTGCCAACTCACTGCAAGGACTGTTCTTCTCTGACCATGTGGTGGGAAGGACACCAGGCTATTGGAAAGGTCACTTGTGTGGCCTTGTGTGGTGGGGAGGGCTGGCTTCCACCCCAGAGACGCGTAAGCATCCTGCTGGGGTCCTGGCTAGAAGCAGGTGCAATGGCAGCGGGGATGGAGACGGAGGAGCGATGGCTCTGGAGAAGAAGACAGGAGGGATGTTGAATGTATGGGGGCCGCGGGGAGGCAGGGCAGGGGGTGTGCAGAGGGGTCGAAGAGAGAGAGAGAGAAGCAGGTGGGAAGGTAGGGCCTCTGGAAGGCACACCACTGAGAAATTCCTTATGGCGGTGAATAGTGGATACTTTGATTTTACGGCAGCGCCTGGTGTAAAACAATTTGCCATTGTTTTCTCCTCTCTGCGCTGTTATAACCCCCTGCAACCCCCAGACCTTAGGAGCGAGTCCGCTAACACAGCGACCTTGTGTTAGTGGCTCTTTGTGGGGAATGGCAGACAGTGGGGGTGTGTTGTGTGGCTGACAAATGAGGAGAGTAATCACTCGAATCTAGAAGCTGCCATGGCGGTGAAGCAGGCTAGGAAACTGATTGAGGAGAAACATCGCCCCCAAGTCTTCAGGGATTTGGGGGCAAGGATTCGAGACCTCAGAGGGGTGGGATGGGCACTCCCAGAAGGCTGGGTTTCACTTGGGGGCAGCCCATGTGGGTTAGGTTTCCTCCAGATCACTTTGGAGTCTGTGTTAGGACTGAATATTTCAGGTGGTGAAGACGTCCTCTCAGAAAAGCTCTGGTATAATGAAACCTTCAGATCCTAATGGAAGAAAAAAAATCTGCCTGGGGAGAAACTGATGCCCATAAAGGTCTGGGTTTATGTCTAGAGGGAAGATAGTGGGGAAAAAAAATACCATGAGCTCTCCTGGAATATTTCTCAGTCATGACGGTGCTTATGTTAATTATCAGGGTTTGGGTCTGTGCTCTTGCTACTCAGAACGTGGTCCCCAGCCCTGGCCGCCCGGCCTCAGGCTCTCCCACGCACCTCCCGTGGGCAGGTCTCTTCGTCTCCACCAGCCCCAGGGATCCCCTGCCTGCTTTGTTTGGCTGGAGAGAACCCACTTCGGCCCTGGAGAGCTAAGTGCAAGGGAGGCTCTTTGCCCTGTTCCTGGCGTCCTGGGGACCAGGAGCTGGCCCATGTTTGTTTTACGTGACACAACCGATCTCTCTCCCTTCCTTCTGGGCACCTTGCTCATTAGGGTTCCGGTCACCAGGACACCTTGCCTTCAGCCTCTTGTCTTCCTTTTTGATTTCTGTGCCTCAATGTGCTTTGCTGGACCCTTAGTCTGGAGGGTCCCAGGGCCTGCATTCCCACCTCGTCTAGTCCTGCGAGTTCAAAGTTTTTATTTTATTTTTTATTTTTTTAAAATATTTTTTAATGTTTTATTTTTTATTTTTGGGGGAGAGAGAGAGAGAGAAACAGCGTGAGCAGGGGAGGGTCAGAGAGAGAGGGAGACACAGAATTGTTATAGGTCGCGATCGCTTACCAACTCTGGACAGCAAAAATGAGCTATACACAAATTTATTACGGCCGGGCCAGACAGGACGATGAAATGGGCCCCTCAAAGTCTGGCCCTGAGCCGACCGCGATGTGGCAAGATACAGACAGAAGTGACCAATCAGGGAAGTACAGGATGCGATAAAACAGGCGGGCTCCGCTTACGTGCTTTAACACAGATTTTTGAAACATAACTTGTTGACTTTGGCCAGTTATAGCTGACTCATGTTGTTGTTTAAGTAAATTCTGTCAGCGCTAAGCGGGGTGAGGGTAGGTTGGGTATGGAGAAGTTAGATTAAACTAAGCAGTTTCATAGAAGCAAAAACAGCTTATTAAGGGAACAGGGTTTCCATTAAGTGGGTTTATAGGGAACAGGAATAACCAGAAACAGGATGGTTTGGGGGTGAAGTCCGGACTTAA